CTGGGATATGATCCACACCTCAGGGATACCTACAAATACCTGTCTGCAACCGTATATAATGGGTGAGCTTGAGACTGGAAGCCGTATATGAATACTTCAATAGTTTTATATGTTTTCATGTGCATATAATATGGAATCTCAGAGAATCTTAAATTCATTGATTTTTCTCTGGAATCTAATGTTTCTATATTATCTATGACATGCCAGGTCTTAAGAGGTGTCAGTCATACACTTTGAGCCCTATCCTATAGACACTACACGATTGATTGATAGAGATTAAGCCACCCAAGAGGTGGCACGGGCATGAATAACTCGTAAGTGGAGGGGACATTACATAAAAAAAATCTTCCTGGTAAGATACTTGAAATACCTGACTACAGACCAAGTCTTCACCCATTAGTGTGTGGTAGCACTTATTTGTGTTGCTCTAAAGTAATATTCTCGCCAATGCCTCAGTAGTTGGACATATAAGTGACACAAATTACAAGCATAATTACATATGGTACAATTATATATAAATACAGTATAATTATATTTAATTACATACTGTACAATTATATATAAATACTTTACAGTATATACAATCTAGCACACTCAAACAACTACAGATTCTCTGGAACTTAAATTGGAATTTGCGACATGAAATAATTTTTTCATCTCTGCTATTCAACCGATGAAATGCAATTACTATGATGCAATATTCATTTTCAGGGATTGTGTACCAACACAAAGGTGGATTTACTATGCGTAGTGGTGAAAAATGTACATGAAGTGGTTATGGGAACTTTATGGGTTAGTGGAACCTCGCTGAATGTGTATATATGTATTGTAATATGTATATATATGAATATGTGTATAAATTGTGCTAGAAATTACCTGCTTAATATTATCTGTTAGATTAAGGACTTGCCCGAAACGCTGCGCGTACTAGTGGCTTTACAAGAACGTAAATACATCATGCTATGTATTCTCATAAACCCAATGTAACTTCTTATATTTATATAAATAAAATAAATAAATATAGCAAATAATGTGAAGTATGGTTATGGATGTGAAATATTTGTGAAAAGTGCGTATAATTTGTGTTTTGTAATGCTTGTAAAATTGTGTATTAAATGCTTGGAGGCATTTTATGTAAAGTTTGTGAGAATGTGCCTAGAATGCTTGATGAATGATAATTATTTTTTATGAAATGTGTGACTATATAAATGAGTCCTTAGGAAAATATATTTGGAATTGTTATAGAAATGTTGACATTTATTTTGTTATAATGAATATTTATTAAATGTTTTGTGAATTTCTGGTGTAAATTCTCGAGCCTTTTCTAAACAAAATTCTATCTTTCATGCTTGTCTTGTGATGAGACATAAACAGCTTCAGGTTCCGCTTCGCCACTCTCCAATTTTCTTCTAATATTCATAATTTCGTATTTATAGCCTCGTTTTCTGAAAACTTTGAGCTGAAATACCCCAATAATATTTCCGCTTGCGCCAGCATCACCCGAGGGAAAAGCTGGTTCTTGTAAAACAAGATTTTAATGGTTTTAATGCCGATATATTTATGCATTTGAGTAATTAAATGAGTAGAAAGAATATTTTTAAGTTTTGTCGTAAATCTAAATGATTGGATAAATAATTATCGTGAGGAAGATAGGCTATCTTGAGACGTGATGTTTGGCGCCTTGGGTGGACATGTTGGTTTGGTCTGGCGGGAATGTGTACTAATAATATCACGATCCTGAGTAGAAAAAGCTCGCACTATTACATCTATTTTGTGGGCGTGGAATCGCCGGATCAGCGCCACAAAATTCAGATAAATTTTTATTGTAAATTACAGGATGAAGGTTTAATTGGGCGGCACATGTCAGATTTGGTGATAATCATGGCGCGGAAAATGCCGCCACGCTATGGCTTCACCCGTGCGCGGGCAGGAGAGAGACATACAAAAATGCATTTAATTCAAAAATTCAAAATTCAAATTTTTATTCGGGTAAAAGTACATACATAGAAGATGAGTTACAAACATAATGTTGGATTTATAGTTAGAGCTAGTACATACAAAACCTAAAGCCAGTAATACGCACAGCGTGTGTAAAGGAAGTAATGTATATGTTGACCAGACCACACACTAGAAGGTGAAGGGACGACGACGTTTCGGTCCGTCCTGGACCATTCTCAAGAGAATGGTCCAGGACGGACCGAAACGTCGTCGTCCCTTCACCTTCTAGTGTGCGGTCTGGTCAACATACTTTAGCCACGTTATTGTGACTCATCGCCTGCAAATGTATGTTTATCACTCAAAATGTTCGGTAATATGCTTATTGCTTGTGATGTGTGTCTATATATAAACATGTTGTATTGAACGAGGTGAGAATAGCTTGATGTACATCATCCATTTATGTGTATTTATACCTTAATGAACTTACTTGAATTTGACAGAAAACAAATGAGAAAGCAGCACCTACCGTACTAAGACATCCCATAACGCTAGCAGCCGGGATAGAATTGCAAAAGCTAGACTTGCATTTTTTTTTATTAACATAGGTATATCTGCATTCATGCAGGTGCGCTAGACTATATGTAGGGTTACATAGTTTGTCAAGAGCAGTGTCATTCAAAAACCTCATCTCGCAGGTTGGGTAGTCATACAAGGGCATGTGACTATTGACCTGTGGCACAGGCAAAGTTTTAATGCTGAACGTGGCCGGCATCTCTAGCCATCCCAGGGTCCGCCAACTCTGGCATGTAATCACTAACATAGCCCTGCAATACCTCACCAAACTCGGCGTCGACCTGAACAACAAAGTTCGCACCAGACCCAACAAGGTGCTCAACTGCCGAATAGGCAGCAAAGTACGAGGGAAGGGAAGGGGTCTGAACAGACCCAAGCCTCTCTCCCTGGCAGCAAGGGCGTGATCCAGCCTCAACCTGAAGGAGCTTGAACAAATCCACAAGGGCCGTGACGAAGATTCGAACCTGCGTTCATTTGATGCATCACGCAATTGTGATTTGTGTGTGTACTGAAGGAGCTTACTGCTGGCGGCCTCCAGACTTCCTGTGATTTCGGTAAAAATCCGGTTGAAAGACTTTTACAGGTCAACAGTGGTCTAGTGGTAGAGTACGCGACTGGTAATGCCATGTTCGTAGGTTCGCGCCCACCTCATAGCCCTAGTGGACTTTCTCATTGATATATATCACGTTAATGTGATTTCTATGTGTAGGTTAGGAGGACCGTGTTCTTGATGTTGGGAAAACTTGGAGGACAGGCTGGTTGGAGAGTACTGTGTCGGAGTTCTTGTTCCCGCAGTACCTATGGCAGGTGTTCTTGTTCACCTGCCATAGGTATCAATATCCCCAATCTAATTCTAGCAATTACATTATCCCCTGCATTGCTGTGGATTCTGCCCCGTCCTACAGTCTTCAATATCAACATGCTCCCTTCAACATCAAGAATCGTCAGCAATACGTTCCAAAACGTATTGTCCAATCTCTCCTCAAACCACCCTACCTTCCACGAGAACCACCCACCTGCGGCTTGCCGGCTTCCATCTGACCACTCTGTTAACGATCGTTACTCTACCGGCTTCCTGTTCCAGACCCTGCCACCTCACCTGTCTGACGTCACCACCTTGTATATAAGCACTGGCCGGCGGCCTGGGGCCAGATTCACGAAGCAGTTACGCAAGCACTTACGAACCTGCACATCTTTTCTCAATCTCTGGCGGCTTTGTTTACAATTATTAAACAGTTAATGAGTTCCAAAGCGCCAGGAGACTGTTTATAACAATAACAACAGTTGAATGGGAAGTTTTCATGCTTGTAAACTGTTTAATAAATGTAACCCAAGCCGTCAAAGATTGAGGAAAGATGTACACGTTCGTAAGTGCTTGCGTAACTGCTTCGTGAATCTGGCCCCTGGGTCACCATCGTGTCAAGTTACAGCCTCGCTCCTGTGCCAGGTAAGTCCACTACGGGCTCACCATAGCCCGTGCTACCTGGAACTTCCTCCGAGGAGTTGAATCTAAAACAACAACAGCCTGGTCAGGCAGAATCCTTCTGGTGCTCTCATTAACTTACGTAGCTTCCCTGGCCTCGACGTTCTATTTTCGGGTGACGGTAGACCCTTAGAGCATTTTGTATAAAGTTTATCATTCACAATTATTATTAACGTAAAGTAACTTGTATATATTTTTTTTCTTTGTGTAAAGCCAAGTGGGTTAAGGTTTTTTGTCATTAATTGTTTATTTTCTGTAAAATTCAAGTAAATTTTTCTTGTGTTACATTAAAATATTTAGTGTTTATTCTCTTGTTCATTACCAGCAACTTGCTCACCATAAAGGAACAGCAGTTGTATATTATTTTATTTTTTTATTAATGTGCGTTTGGTACACAACACCAGCCTGGATAGTTGCTGCTCGCCGAGCACATCACAATGTCAATAAAATCGAATGTGTGTGCACAATAGCAGGCCAGGTGCTTGGGGCTACCTCACCCGACTTTGAAGTATGACACGTGTAGAGTGTGTCATAGACCAGTCGGGGTCAGCCCCAATGCCACCGTTTAAGAAATATTGCCATCTATAGTGACTCCCTGCAATTTCCATTAAGTCAGAAATAGAGGATATGTTTTCAAATAGTTTTAACAGTTTTCAGTGCTTCGTAATATAACAAATGTTAAGATAGAGAAGAGAAGGAAGACAAGGAGGGAGAAAGATGGAAAGGATGAGGGAGGGGAAGAGGGAGAGAGAGACCCGGGTACAGCCGGGGACCCCCCATGGAATAGCCATATATGATGCAAGCTCCCACAGCTAAAAATAGCCACACAATATGGCAAGGGTAACCTTCGATCAATCATATATATAAAAATTAGCCTCATCTCGGGCAATGTAGTTTAAACAGTTAACCGTTATATACATACAAATATATATAGTCTATGAACGTGGACATTTAAATGCTGATTTGATAAGGAAGTTACTGGAATGTATTTGAGGGAGTTGAGGAAAGCTGGCAACAGATGGCGCTGGGTGTTGTGTTGTCACTCTTGGCAGTCAGTAGACCTGACGCGCTCACGTCAGCGAGTACTCCAAGGGTGTAGTTTTACGGCGTTTGTGTTTTAAGGATTCATTTATTCATTCTTCAAATCGCTTGAGAAGTAAGTGTGTGTGTGTATAGTGTTTTTTGTTCTTCAGTTTCGTGAATTCAGTAGTGAAGCTCCATTCAAATTAGATGTAGAGGAACAAGTCACGATGACAAGTGATAAATTATGTTTAGAGATATGACTGCCAAGGTCACGTGTTTCACAGGTTCAATGAATGTTGAGTTTACATTTATTAAAGATTATTTGTGAGATGGTGATTGGTTGTGCTGTGTATCTGTCTTGTATATTATACTGATCTATCCTTCTTGATCTTATAATTGTATTACTCCATTTATTCCCTCTTCTATACTCCTTTTATCACGTTTCATTTCGATCCTCTTTTTCACTTAATTACCCTTTCCACTTTTCTTAATTATCCTTCCTGCCTCACATTATTAATTATGGTGCTCGGTTTCTATCCTTAAATCATTGGTGTCATACTGTATATTCTACCTTCTCCCATTCTACTCACAACATTTTATATTCTATCTACTGTCTTCTCACTTCCCTTGACTTTTCTACTCTTCTACTACCCATATTTCATAGTTTTTCTCCCCTCTCCCTATTTTCTACTCCATCTCTCCTTCTAATCTCCTCCTCCCCTTTCTTGGTAGTACTGTACAGTTGGGTATAGTCTAAAATATATTTATTATTTTATATTAGCAAATTGTACATATTTGGGCACTGGAGATATTTAGATTAGGTGTTTAGTTTCTGTTGACGATTATTTGTATTTGTAGTACGTGGGTGAAGCATTTACAGCGTTGTGGTTCTAAAAAAGTCGTCAGTGAAGCACTTGTTCCGGAAGTGTTCGAACGTCATCAGTTGTGAGTCGTGTGTACTTACATAATTGTACTCGTCTAATTGTGCTTACGGGTGTTGAGCTTTGACTCTTTGGTCCCGCCTCTCAACTGTCAATCAACTGGTGTACAGATTCCTGAGCCTACTGGGCTCTATCATATCTACATTTGAAACTGTGTATGGAGTCAGCCTCCACCACATCACTGCCTAGTGCATTCCATTTATTAACTACTCTGACACTGAAAATATTCTTTCTAACGTCTCTGTGGCTCATCTGGGTAGTAAGTTTCCACCTGTGTCCCCTTGTTCGTGTCCCACCCGTGCTGAAGAGTTTGTCTTTGTCCACCTTGTCAATTCCCCTGAGAATTTTGCATGTGGTTATCATGTCTCCCCCTACTCTTCTGTTTTCCAGGGTTGTAAGGTTCATCTCCTTCAGCCTTTCCTCGTAGGTATTATTATTAAGTCGTGTGTGTCAGTATTAAGTTATATTTGAGAAAATTCTCTTTTTGAATGAACAGCAAACCTGTGTGGTTTTAGGTATTATCTGTAATACCTGTGGCTTTAGGTATTGTATGTACTAGCTCTATCTATAAATCCAACATTATTTTTGTAAGTCAACTATGTATGTACTTTCATGAATAAAATTGACTTTACTTACTAGCATGTAAAAGTTTATGAATGCGTCTGTGGGGTCGACCGCTGGATGTAATGGACTTGAGTCGAGGACGGGTTGGGTAGTTCTACCGAGGAGGGAGGGGGGGGGGGGAATGTCCTCGATATAAGCCTAACATGTACTCACCTAGTTGTGCGTGCCGGGGTTGAGCTCTGGCTCTTTGGGGCCGGCCTCTCAATTGTCAATTAATCAACCTATTTTTTTCTCCCCCACATACCCATCTTGATTTCTCCCCCCCCCCCCCCACACATCCCCCCCCCCACACATCCCCCCCCCCACACATCCCCCCCCCACACATCCCCCCCACACACACCCCATGCACCCCCACCCCACACACACACAAGGGAGCCGGTGGCTGTGTGGATAGCACGCTGGACACGTAATCCTGTGGCCCGGGTTCGAATCTCGGATTCGGCGAGAAACAAAAATGGGCAGTTTCTTTCACCCTGATGCCCCTGTTACCTAGCAGTAAATAGACACCTTGGAGTTAGATAGCTGTTACAGGCTGCTTCCTGGGTAGGGGGTTTGAAAAAGATAGTAGTTATCTTGAGAAGATTTCGGGGCTTGGTGTCCCCGCGGCCCGGTCCTCGACCAGGCCTCCTTTTTGTTACACTCCCCCAGGAAGCAACCCGTAGCAGCTGTCTAACTCCCAGGTACCTATTTACTGCTAGGTAACAGGGGCATCAGGGTGAAAGAAACATTTTTTTGCCCATTTGTCTCCGCCTTCACCGGAGATCGAACCCGGAACCTCAAGACTACGAATCCAAAGTGCTGTCCACCCAGCTGTCAGGCGCCCTTTAATTTGTAATAGTTAGAAACGATTGATTGATTGACAGTTAAGAGGCGGGCCGAAAGAAGAGAGTTCAACCCCCGCAAGCACAACTAGGTGAATACACACACACACACAATCAGTTTTTCACCCTGATGCCCCCTGTTCACCTAGCAGTATATAGGTACCTGGGAGTTAGACAGCTGCTACGGGCTGCTTCCTGTGTGTACTCAACTAGGTGACTAGGTGAGTACACACAGGAAGCAGCCCGTAGCAGCTGTCTAACTCCCAGGTACCTATTTACTGCTAGGTGAACAGGGGGCATCAGGGTGAAAAACTCTGCCCATTTGTTTCCGCCTCCACCGGGGATCGAAGCTGAACCCTTAGAACTACTAATCTCGACTGCTATCCACTCTGCCGTCAGGCCCCTTTACGTACGTGTGTGTATTTACTATTTGTGTCTGCAGGGCCCGACACAATTATAAAATTTATATTGCTCTCCGTTTTTTAATTCTTTATTCTTCTCTCCCTCTTCTATTCCTCCCTTCTCTTCCTTTACTTCTATATCCCTCGATCACTGTTTCTGCTCCGTCCCTCTCCCTACTCTCGTCAACTCTAAATACAACTTTTTAAATTCTCTGTAACTATAAAGTTTTTAAACTACCCGGTATTGTTCTTGGTCGATGTCCCAATGTTGTGTACATGTAATTACTTAACTAATTATTATACCGAGAAACCTAAGCTTGTGGTGTCCCAGTACTGTCACATCACACCGTACTTGTCTAGTTGTACTTGCGGGGGTTGAGCTTTGGCTTGTAACGGTTCTATTGTTACGTAAAGTATGGTGACAAATAAACACAGACACTAAGATACTATATATATATTTGGTCGAATATACAGAAGTACACCGGTGATACTTTGGTGTGAGTTGAGCGCACTGAGCGTCGGTACAGTATCTCGCAAGTGTCTGCTCTAGACCACACTTGAAAGTAGACTCTGGTTAATGTTTGCTATCCTGCTGCTTATATGCCCGGGCAACTCCTCACCGTATTGCCCGGGCAACGCCTCACCTCATTCATCTCCAAAGGTTGACAGGAATATTAACAATGCATTTGGAGCGAGTATATTATTGGGATAATCTACTCGCTACAGAACTCCCCCTCCCAGGGGATGAAAGGAAAAATACTTGATCAAGGAACTTAGCTGGTCGGTGAATTGTACGCCCTGCTCGCGTTACATAACCATCAAAGTTAACTTCCTCCTCTTCGCTGATGTCATCTAACTGGGGTCGTAGGGTGGGAGGTCGCACAGGATCGTCCGTCGTCGTAGGATCAGGTTGTGGTGCGGCTGGTAACTGGGGTCGAAAAGTGAACTGCGTAGTCGGCGGATGTGTCTCTGGATTTAGCAGTGTCGCAGACGTTGAGACGAAGCCTGGAGCAGAGCAGAGAGCTGAGTGCGGCCGGAGTCGTGGAGCTCTATGTGGGAGAGCGTGGCGGCTCGATTGAGATTTGTGAGTGTCTAAACTCGGGGAGCGAGAGCGTGGCGGCTCGATGCGGTCGTAGTCTGCTGTCTGCTCTGTGTCGAAGCTGTAGCGTCTTGGGTTGATTAGGACTGTACACGCCGAGTACTACATTGTTGACTGGAAATGGTCACTGCTTGATCGCAAGCGGGGATTTTTCTGGCGGGGGAGAAAGAAACAATTGCGCAGCGCGTCCCGCGGCGTTGCGCGGGCAGTTTGGGGCCTGTATAAATACGGGCGCACACTGGGGCTCTGCCTCACTCCGCCTGCCCTCGCCGCTGCCCTCGCAAAACCCCACCCTCCCCCCCTTTGCAAGCGGCTGCTTTTGTACCCCCGTCATGCTTTGCACAGTTGTCCCGATTGTCTCCCCACTGCATGTAGGAAGGGGGGTGCAGCGCCGGTCCCCAAGTGTCCCGCTGTCCGCAGCTAATACTTTGCCCAGTCTAGGTGCTAGTAAGCCCTACTTGTAGTCACACCCCCTTCTCCTTATCCATTAGGTCTTTTACGGCCTCTTGGCCGGGTACATTACGTGTTATGTGGTCTCTCACTTATTAGTTATTCTTTGTGTCCTGCCTGTTATATCCTAGTGTTATATAATTACTACACATTTGCACTCGGCCTTAATTCTAGTACCAGTTAACCTTTAGGTTTCTGCAGAATTAGTTTCCATGTCACTATAGGCTAAGGTCTCATACTTACTACGGGTGTACCTTTTAAGTTAAATCTAGTCCTCGGACTTGGAATTGTTACTGTTAATTCTTACTTTATATATTTACTTTATATATTTTAATATAAACGTTATATAGTCCTTAAATTATATATTTTGAAACTTTATATATTTACATGTTCAATATTAAGTTTAATAATATCAACTTTGTTATAAGCCTATAATATAAACCGTGTTTAATATAAACTTTATATAATTACTTACTTTATATTTGAACTTTATACATTTACATGTTCTGCAGAATTTAATCTTCAATAAACTTTAACGCCCCATACTGCCAGTATCTTTCTCCCCCTGGTCAGAAAATTGTAGTCTGGTACCAAAAGATGTAGGCAGTGTGTGGACAAGCTCGGTGTAGCAGGAGAGAAGAATGTGCATAATTGTTGCGTCCTTGGGTCGCTGGTGGAGCATTTAGATCCGGGGCGGATGGGCTCGGGCACCAGGACATTAGGAGGTAATGTAGGCACGTAGTTAGGACAACGAGGTAATCACTGCTAGAGCTGAATTGTCCTGGAGGCGACGAAGAGTCGGAAACGCAAGCTGTAAGTCCTGTACTGCGCAAAGGGCTTCAGTCGGCAGAGTATCAAAATGCAGTGAACGTGTAGATGAATCTGACGAAAGAGCAGCTTTCGTGGGCGTCCCTGTAGAACAAGCAGTGCCCTGGCAGCGACGGAGAGTCGGCAGGGCAGGATGTAGATCCCACATTATGTAGTTACTGATGAAGCTGCCAGATGAGTGAGTAGTGATCGTGGAGCAGCAAGCCGTAGTAGATGAAAATGCAGAGATGATCGCGATGAAAATCATAGCTGTGGCAAGGGTGTTGGCAACGTTCCACGACAGGTGGCTGCGGTCCACAGCAAGCAGCAGCAGTGGAGGTCCAGTGAGAGTCCATGTTGTAGTCCATCGTGGCTGGATATCGTCGAAACTCTCTGGGGTCACCAATGTAACGGTTCTTTTGTTACGTAAAGTATGGTGACAAATAAACACAGACACTAAGATACTATATATATATTTGGTCGAATATACAGAAGTACACCGGTGATACTTTGGTGTGAGTTGAGCGCACTGAGCGTCGGTACAGTATCTCGCAAGTGTCTGCTCTAGACCACACTTGAAAGTAGACTCTGGTTAATGTTTGCTATCCTGCTGCTTATATGCCCGGGCAACTCCTCACCGTATTGCCCGGGCAACGCCTCACCTCATTCATCTCCAAAGGTTGACAGGAATATTAACAATGCATTTGGAGCGAGTATATTATTGGGATAATCTACTCGCTACAGGCTCTTTGGTCTCGCCTCTCAACTGTCAATCAACTGGAGCTCCCTGACGGGTTTGACATCAACCGCCTTCTCACTGAACTTGCCCCAACCGTCTATCAATCTCTTTGCGAAAAGAACTTTCTACTTTTTGTGCTACCTTTGTTTCCATAACTTGAATCTATGACTTCTAATTGTTTTTGAAGTTGCAGGTTTCAAGACTTCCTCTGTCAGCTTTGTCGACAATAGTTTTGTTTACTATTTTGTATGTAGTGATCATATAAGCTCATCCTCCGTTGTTGTTTTAGATTCAGCTACTGGGAACAAAAAGTTGCAAGTAGCACGGGCTATGGTGATCCCGTAGTGGACTTACCTGGCACAGGAGAGGAGCAAGTAGCACGGGCCATGGTGAGCCCGTAGTGAACTTACCTGGCACAGGAGCGGAGCAAGTAGCACGGGCTATGGTGAGCCCGTAGTGGACTTACCTGGCACAGGAGCGGGGCAAGTAGCACGGGCTATGATGAGCCCGTAGTGGACTTACCTGGCACAGGAGCGGGGCAAGTAACACGTACGGGCTATGGTGAGCCCGTAGTGGACTTACCTGGCACAGGAGCGGGGCTGTAACTGTCCATCCTCCTGTTGAGCTCCCTCGTAGTAACAATGTACGTGGACCATCGTACATAAACAGGTATTGGCGCATTGGGCAATTAGAAAGTAGAATTTGGTAATATTGAACTTAGGCAAACCGGGGAAAGGTATTACCTGATTTACCTGACGGCCACTTAACATTTGTGGCCTCGACGAGGACAGGAAGTCGGCGGCTTGTCGAGGATCTCCTCATTTTTCCAGTTTAACTTTAAAAATGTAAGAGTTTTGACATTTACGGCTTCGGCGGGTAAGCGGTTCCATAGGTTTATAATAGTTTATAATAATTAATTGTGTCGGGGAACAGGAAGCCAGAGTGTATTCATGAACGTTTTGGCTTCTATCGAAATCCCTTACCGCCCACAAGATGGGTATGGGGTGCATAATAAATGAACTAAACTAACTAACCCCACCCCCCTAAAGGCCAAATTGCTGACCTAGCCCAGGATGCAGCCCAACAATAAGCTGACTAACTCCTGAGTACCTACTCACTGCTAGGTGAACAGAGACATTAGGTAAAAGGAAATGTGCCCAATATTTCTGTCTCGCCCAGGATTTGGAATGCTCAAGTGTGCGTCAAGAACGAACCCTACTGTACTACTGGGACCCTTAATAACCCTGTAGGTTAAAAAGCATCTCGTGTTTTCAGTCCTACATTGTGGCTTGTTGAGCTTGTAATCGTTGCTCCTTATTTGTGTTACATCTCTGACCTTTGGAAGAAATTGACTGAATGAAGCTCCTCCAAATTGTTGGAAGATTATAAGATTTGTATCCTTAAATTACAATGTACAGGCGGTCCGTCTAATTACCACAAGCTACACAAGCTTCAGAAAGCTTATATTAGTAATGAATAAATATGATATATTTACTCATTATAATGTTGGTGCTGAATGTACAACACGAGAAAACATAATTTTAATCTGAATAAGTATATTTTTATTAAGAAATTAGACGAAAATAAAGAGCTGGTGACGCCAAATAAAGTCGACGATCCAAGCGTCGGTTAGGTTAGGTTAGGTTAGGTTTAGTTAGGTTTGGTTTGGTTAAGTTAGGTTAGGTTAGGTTAGTTTAGGTCAGCCTAACCTAACATATCATATTTATTCATTACTAACGTATTGCCAGGAAGCTTTCTGAAGCTTGTATAGCTTGTGGTAATTAGACGGACCCAGGGCAGGTATAAGGAGCTACATTGTGGGGATATTGTACAACAAAATCTTAAAGGTACACAATTTAAAGTTTGAGAACATGAAAGTGTCACTTAAAAGGTAAACCAAGTAACTGTTTTTAAATTGTATTCTGTGCATGTCATGTACCTCTATATTCATTAACTGTGCACTCAACAGAGACCCAGCATGAATCTTGGGGTATTGGCCGAGATGTTCCATGCACACACAGCCAGGTGTGGCAGGCTTGGCAACTCCCTGTTGCTTCTTAGATACCGTTCATCTACGGCAGTTCAGCCACATTTGGATGAAGCAGCACAAGAAAGAAGTGGGGCAGTAACAGGTCGACCAGCCCACGAGATCCCAGGACCCAGAGTGTACCCTATTATCGGCACATTACCAGGCATGATGCTGAACAAATGTAAGTTTAGTCAATCTGTTTTCATATTTGTAAATATTTTTGTCACCTCAAATAATCATTGTAATGAATTGTCCCCAGTAGTATACACAACAACTTTTACACGGATCGGTACCCCATGAAGGTTGGCTACGTGCGTTTATGTACTAGAAGAGGTACCCAGCAGTGCCCGGGGTAGTCTCTCTTACCCCCACACCCCCTATTGCCCCCTCTTCTCTCCCCACTCTCTCTACGTCACTCATCTCCCCCCCCCCCCCCCCCCCCTCTCCTCTCTCTATCTTCTCTCCAATCCTTCTTCCTCTCCCTACCCTTTTCCCCCACACCCCTCATCCTGGACAAAATGACATCGAGTGTCATGGGTTGACACTGTTGGATGGGTTGACGATCCAAGACTTGGATGGCTTGGACGAGCATGTACTATGAACTTCATAAAGCATGTGCTTCAGTCCAGTTAATGATTGTTTATATAGTTAAGATCAGCATTGCAAATGTGATCCATGCAGCTGCCCATTGGGTGGACCAGATTCTGGGAGGCAATTTCCTATAATTAATGATTGTTAGCATTTGTTCAATTATTCTTACAAATATTTTATACTGTATCTTATTGTGTTGTTTGATTATTTTTTTTATTCTTCTACAATGAAAATCTATGATTAATGGGACCAACTGACTGGCCAACTTACAACACAAATATTATCCATATGGGGATAGGAGAATAAGGGATTATGAAGAGATATCCTTTGCTATTGGATTAGGTGTCCATAGCAATTAGTCAAAGATTGTATTTTGTCCATTGCATTAATATTTCTAATCCACTGAGGTATTTTATTTTAAGTTCTTATCCCACACCATCATAGCTATTTCACCTATCAAAAAGTACACTTCAAGCAAGACTCTTCTGTAATTTTGCTTTCTTTAGGCCTATCAGTCATGTTATATGACTAGTAGGCCTCCACTGTATAATGTAAACTCATCAGATGCACAAGAATAAAGGCTTCAAATAAATTATTAAAATAGTGTAACACAATATTAAATAATATAAATTTTCCTCTCATGTCGCAATTGTTTTAATGTTTCCTCAGCCTTTGACAGTAGAGCCCTCCACAAAGTTTGGATTGATATGGTAAAGCAGTATGGACCGATACTCAAACTACAACAACCAGGGATAGATGATTTGGTGGGACTAACAAATCCCGCTGACTGTGAAATTGTGATGCGTTCAACTATAAACAACCCAGTGAGGATAGGTTTTGAGTCCATTAAGAAAATTCGAGATGAGACGATAGACAACTACTTTGAGAAGAAGAGTGGTATACTTGTTGAGTATGTATCTATGTATCTTCTTCCAGGACATTATTTTATTGTAAGTTCTTATCCCACACCATCATAGCTATTTCACCTATCAAAAAGTACACTGCAGAAATAGCAAATAGTTGTGTTTGTGACTTGTTTATTAATATAACAATACAAATAATAATTTATAAAATTACAAATTTGATTATAGTGCATAGTAGATATTAAGATTAATATCTACTGTATAGATATATCTACACATATCTACTAATGTGTGTTCTTTACTCGGTACAATCTAGCAGTAATATTTAATACCATGAGAGGCAGGTTTTCATACATAAATAACCAAATTAATAACATTACCTTGCAGCAGATTAACGAAGAAAAGGACTTTGAAGTCAAAATCAACCATTCACTTAAAGTTGCAAAACATTTAGTAGGAGCAGCAGTAAAAAAGATAATCAAACCCAAAAAATAATAAAGCGAACCTTTGGGTTCAATGAAAAGAAAGTAGTGATTCAACTTTATAAATCTCTGTGCCCCCACTTAGATTATTGTATCCGAGAATGTAGACCTCATCTTCAGATGGACCTAGCTGCTCTGGAGAAGGTGCAACACCAGGAAACAAAAATCATTCCAAAACGGTCAGCTCTCGTACCGGGAACGGTGAGGGCCTCAGGGCAAACCAGCCAGGACAGGGCTGGTTTTGTCGAGACTTAAAATACTGAACAATTTAGAGGATGTTGATCCAGACAATTTCTTCAAAAGGTCAGTTGTAAGACAAACAAGGAGTACCAATTTCAAGCTCAACAAGCCACAATGTAAAACTCAAAACAGGAGATGTTTTTCAGCCACAGGGTTATAAACCACCTACCATGGTAGGTGGTTATGAACCACCTACCCGCTGAAGTTGTGAAAGCTAAAACTGTTGAAATTTAAAAATCAAGCTGCAAAAAAAAATCATCAGTGCAAATGGTAGGGGGGACCTTTGAAAAGCCGTCAGCTTCCTGCCCTCGTTGAGGCATTAGTGTGTTTGGCTCTTGGGTACATTCATGTAAATGTAAGTATATTTTAAGAAATTTAGCAAATATATTGCCTTCTAGAGTAATACTTAATGCAAAAGCGTATAGACTACATCATATTTCTTATTTAACTTCAGTAGTAAATATTATAATAATATATTTAATACACACAGAAATCACAATAGTGTGATGCATCAAATGAACAAATCCACAAGGGCTGTGATTGTGATCACAGCCCTTGTGGATTTGTTCAGTACATTTAATGTATTTATTGCTAATAATGAAAGCAAAACCAATGGGCTTAATTAGGATGAACTATGTACGATTTATGCTACTTTGAGTAGTGGATATATAAACAACTACATTGTCAGTTATTGTACTTCTTTTTATCTTTTTTTAATTGATTAAAGGAAGTAAAGCATTTTATTGCTCATGGGAGATCATTTGACAATTTCCATGGCATTTCTGCTTTGGTGTAATTACTCATGGAATATCAAATACCAGTAGATATTTATTTCTCATGTGATGTCTGTGGGTTCTGTTGAAGGTCTCTCACAAGCATTTGAGGTTCAGTTTGGTTTAGTTGTTATATATTCATTTAGTTTCTACATTAATGGTGAAAACACACAACTTTAAATTTGTTACTTTATGAAGGAATGGTGAAGAGTGGTGGCGTGTGCGCAGTAGAGTCCAGACACCTATGATGAAGCCCAAGAATGTCACTTCCTATCTTACGAAGATGGATGAAATTGCTGTCGAGTTTATGGACAGGTCAGCTTATACTGTACATGAATTATCATATTGTGTGTGTGTATGTGTGTTTGGGTATACTGTATACACCACTAGCAATCACACACTGCAACCTACATTCTTGACTCACAATTGAGGATCCAGGTTTGATCCTCAGCTAGGACAGAAATGGTCTGGTACATTTTCTTTTACATAATGCCTATGTTCACCCAGCAGTAAATAGATAACCAGGAGTTAATAATAATAATAATAATACAGTAATAATAATAATAATTAATTTATTTTTAAGTGATGATAGGCTTGAGGTAATTTGCAGGTTGAACCCCATGCACAGATACCATATGCAAGATAGGGATAGATTAGTGCATAATATAATGAGAGGAGAGCAGATTGGGGGAACATAATACTAGTATCTGATTTTAGAAAGTATACCAACCATTTTTGAGACACTTTTTTGGCTATGTGTTGTATGTGGGTGCGGAAGTTCAGTCTCTTGTCTATGTATAGGTCAAGGAACTTCCCTTCATTTTTATTGGTAATGTCAACATTGTCTATCTGAAGTCGAATCTGATTTGATGATTTGCTACCAAATAAAATGTAGTAGATCATTCCTATGTTTAGTATAAGTTTGTGGGTTGACATCCATGAGTGGACTTTTTTAAATTTATTGTTGACAATATTATTTAGTGTGTGGGGGTTGGGGTCAGAATAGATGATGATAGTATCGTCGGCAAATAGTATAGGTTCAAGAATGTTAGAAACAATTGGCAAATCATTGATGAAATGCAAGACATCAGCTCTTGCTCTACAGATGCTTGGTTTAGTTAATCTATTCTATTCTATTATGCACCCCATACCCATCCTGTGGTTGGTACTGTACTGGAAAAGGTTAGAGGCATTATAGATGCTCTGAAAAGATGTTATATTTGAAATTAGGCCACACTAATAAGGCATTTTTGTTATGCCCAAGATTAAGTTGTCATGCAAATACAGTATCATAGCATAGTTCTATAGAATATACTAGATATAGTTCAACCAAAAATTTATTTTACTGCCCCTATTGGTCTTGGAGTATAAAATCAGTGTTGAATGTAATGAAATGCCATTTTCTGGGCGAGTCACAGAGGCTCCCCGGAGCTATCTTGGCTGATATGAATATCCCTAACTTTGTCATCAGTCAATGTGGGTGGAGTTAAAGGCCTACCAGGGACCACGAGCCAGAACCTTGCCCCCCTCAGATAAGCACAAGGAGCAATGACCTATAGAAATGCACATGTGATTTTTGAGCATTCTATATCTGCCATCGACCAGGACAAGCACCCAGACAGATAAGTGCCCCAAAACAAATCCCTATTCTGGTTAAAACAACGAAATAGACAAACGAGTGAACAGAACTCCCCAATTGAAAACGAGCAAATGAGCACGACATCACACGGCTACCCCGCATGTCTGCGCAGCTCCCCCCTCCCTGGGAGGAGGAAGGGGGGGAGCTGCGCAGAGTTTGCTTCCGGGGAGGGGGAAGGTTCTGGCTCATGGTCCCCGGTAGGCCTAGAACTTCACCCACATTGACTGATGCCAAAGTTAGGGATACAGGTATTCTTATCAGCCTGGATAGCTTCGGGAGCCGTAGGGGTTCCCCCCAGAAAAACTTAAAATGTACAGTATAATAATCATTCTTTTATTTAACCCCAAAGAATTGCAGCCTTGCAGGAAGAGTTTGGAGAGATGCCAACCAACTTTCAGTTTGAACTCTACAAGTGGGCTCTTGAATGTAAGTAAATGTTGTACCCATTTAGTTTTAATTATTTGTTCCAATATTTTTACTATTACACTTGTCAATGATACAGGTCTATAATTGAGGGGGTCTTCCCTGTTGCCACTTTTGTAGAGTGGAACTATGTTAGCCTTTTTCCACATATATGCTAGGACTCCTATACACAGGGAGGCCTGAAAAATCCAACCCGTTCTCGCAAATTCGTAAAGTCAATATTGACTTATTAACTACGTGCATAGGTGATATACTAAACATAATAGATACCCTTAAAAAGATTCATAGAAAACACCGACCTTACCTAACCTTGTTAGTATCTTAAGATAAGCATCTTATTGCTTCGTAATTACAATTATTACTTAACCTATACCTATTATAGGTTAGGTAATAATTGTAATTACGAAGCAATAAGATGCTTATCTTAAGATACTAACAAGGTTAGGTAAGGTCGGTGTTTTCTATGAATCTTTTTAAGGGTATCTATTATGTTAAGTATGTCACCTATGCACATATTTAATAAGTCAATATTGACTTATTAAATTTGCGAGAACGGGTTGCAACAATCAGTTGAAGTGGAATGCTGAGCTCGGGTACACATTCTATCAGACCCCATGGTGAAACTCCATGTGGGCCCCAATTGCCTTGTTCATACTTGGCGCCTTGAGCATTTTTTTAACTTCATCTCTAGACACCTCAATATGCTCTGTTGTTCTCTGGAATTCTTATTGTGTCTGGTTCTCTGAAGATTTCATTTTGTACAAACACACTTTGGAACATTTTGTTTAATTTTTCACACATTTCCTTTTCATTTGTGCAAAACTCATTTTCATGAGTGAAAGACTTGGTGTAAATTCCTTACATACATTTCACATATACACAAGTGTGGGTTTTTATCCTATATGTTGTTATGTCTGTGAGAAGACATTACCATTACAGTACGTAATAATAATAAAAATAATTGTAGTACAGTAATCTGTGGTAATCTTTAGCCATGATGTACAGTTAATTACATTTTTAAATTATTTTCAACATATTCTTAATAGTTTAATCTATAATTTACTTGTATATTATACACAATACAAAAGTTAAATCCAACTTAGTTTTCAATTTACAGTCATAATGCAATAATAATTATTAGTGTTAACTGTGAAGAATACAGTACTGAACTGTAGTATATTTTAGTTGTATATAAATGATGCCATTCTTGTATCAGAAAATGAGGGAGCTGCTATAAATATACAATTTTCAATTTTTTCTAAGATTTATATTATCCTTTCAGCTGTGGGCCTTGTGGCATTAAATCGTCGACTAGGTTGTCTGGATTCTAACATTCTGCCGGATTCAGAGCCTATGAAGCTTATCACTATCGTCAATAATATCTTTGATCTTCTGAATGACACTGAGATGAATCTTCCATACTGGAAGATTTTCCCAACATCCTCCTTCAGGAAGCTGAGAAAAAATCACCAAGAATTCCTAGAGTGAGTTTGGAAAATATTAGGAAAACTGTAATGATTTAAGTAAGGTTTCTTATGTATCCAGTTCATGTAACTACTCTTGAAGGCAACTGCTATTTGCTATTAACACATACATAGATAAACAAAAACTATTACTGTACACTCTTACTGTACTGACTTTCTTGATGAACTTTCTTGATACTGTATTTTGATTTTAGTTCTTTATAATGGATAAGTGTTGGCATTATCCTCCGCAGTTTCATAATCGAAGAAACTACCAGTATGTAATGTTGTACCTGTACTGTACTGTATGATGCAGGGTCATTGATGTGATAATTTTATTCTTCTCTTTATACTGAAAGGTACAAAAGTAGTAGTCTTATGACTTTCCAGGTTAAGAGCTCTTCTGTCATCAGCTTATCCTAAGCCTTATTCTTCTTGTTTTCCCCAGAATATTATTGTCCCTCCCTGCCCAGGACTCTAACCCGAGTCGTTCTAGTTTGTAAGGTGAGTGGCCAAGAGCACTGTCCACTATACCACAGGGAGCTTTTATTGATGCCTCTAATCTGCTAAAAGATTAGCAGTCAAAAATTTTCAAAGTACAGTATTGTATTGTATAAAATAATTAGTTTCATTAATTTACCTAAATTTAGCCAAATTTACCCAAGGGCTACTCTCTCTCTACTGGCATCAGCGAGGACAGGAAGGTGGTGGCTTGTCAAAGGTCTTGCCCCTTCCCCCATTTGCCCTGATGATTTTATTGAGCTGGATTTGCAGTGTTTTGGCATTTATGAATTCTGTGAGCAAGCAGTTCCATGGGCTTATAACTGCTATAGTTGAAAAAGCATATCCTGTTTTCTATCCTACATTCTGGCTTGAGCTTGAAACCATTGCTCCTTGCTTGTGTTATTAGTCCTGTGGCCCTCAACCATTCCTGGTATGAAAGACGACTTACTCTAGTTCTGGAATTATTTTTGTCACATGGTATTGAATTTTCTCCAGAGCAGTTGTGTTTTTGAAGATGAGGTCTTTGTGCTTGGAAATAATAATCCAAGCTGGGGCACACCAAAGATTTATACAGTTGAATACTGTAACAATCATTAACCTTTTCTTCCTGGAAGTCAAAGGTTTCTTGACTATTTCACAATATGACTATGTGGAATAGGAGATAATAGTCCACACACATCCTTCAAATTACTGTATGTGAAAAAGCTTTAAAAAATTCTGATGCAGAAAGAGATCTATAGGAGTTGTTCTAGATAGAAAACTGTCACTGTCACCTGAGGATCACATAAAGAACATTGTGCAAGCAGCCTATGGAGTTTGACTTGCTTTTAAATACATGTACATATATGGTGATGAATACTTTTTTCTTGGTAATAATAAAACTGCAGAATTATATTTGTCTGCAGCCTAAGATTCAACTATCCAGTCAGAACCATACATAAGTATTTTGTCACCCATTTGATAACCCTGGTATCTGTTAACATAAATATGAACACATTTTACTCTAAATAAGATTAAATTAGTTTAACAACCTAGACAAATGTTGTAAGGTACGAGATTGAAAGCCGTACCCTAAAATATCGCTAACAACACCTGCTCTTACTTTCTCATAAATAATGGAAGTGCAGGGGTCTATACAGTTATAATCACCAGTTCTAACTACATGGGACAAGAAATACACCTTCTTGAGGTTATCTTGAGATGGTTTCGGGGCTTTTTTTAGTGTCCCCGCGGCCCGGTCATCGACCAGGCCTCCACCCCCAGGAAGCAGCCCGTGACAGCTGACTAACACCCAGGTACCTATTTTACTGCTAGGTAACAGGGGCATAGGGTGAAAGAAACTCTGCCCATTGTTTCTCGCCGGCGCCTGGGATCGAACCCAGGACCACAGGATCACAAGTCCAGCGTGCTGTCCGCTCGGCCGCTCGGCTCCCTAAACCTTGGGAGTACAATTTTACAAAAAGGTTTATATTTAACAAATACTAGATTTCCTCACACTTCTTAGAACAAGGAGGGGGGTGGGGGGTGTACTTGGATCCACCACAGGATTGATACAGACAAAAAGGGTGGGGGGGGGGGGAGGTTCCTTCTCCCTCTACAACCTGGGACTTAAGGTCATTACTCTATTCCACTCCTCATAGGTCACTACAAAGGGCCTGGGTTTACAAATGAATATACAAAATAAATGTGGATAATCCCCCCATGTGACACAGTTGAGCACATACAACTGAATTAACAACACACCACTCTCCCTACACACACGGTTCCAAAAATCCTTATTTCCACAAATTCCTAACTCTAACTCATAAAGAAAAGGGGGAAGCACCGCTATAAACATTTATAATACTGCACTTATCATATTTGTTGGAGACCGTCCACAACACTGGTGTGGTTGTCACTGCCTCCCTCTCCCAAGTGACTGATAGGGGCTGCCACATGTCCCTGCCTGCCTGGTTCCAATAATGTCTCTTCCTATACATGTCATACACATTTCCCAATACTTCATTTATATGTCTTATAATGTTCCAGGCTGTTTTTCTACATTTAACACTGTTGTTTATCTATATTTTCTTGCATTGAATCTGCTTTTTTTTTAACCATTTTATCCCTTTTGTTTACATTTTTTTTGGGGGGAGATTGCATTTTCCTGTTGAGATGATGCATGTGAATGGGGTCAGAGTTCCAGACTGTTTTTCCACATTTAACACTGCTATTTCTCCCTCCACAAGGGTCTCTCTCAATAGCACTGCTATTTCTCCCTCCACAAGGGTCTCTCTCAATAGCACTGCTATTTCTCCCTACACAAGGGTCTCTCTCTTACAATATAGTCAAGTAAAATTATATTAGACTCGTCTAGCATCACTGTGGAAAGCTTGGAAAGTTAATCTCATTAAAGCTAATTCCTCTTAGGGATAGTCAATTGGTGTTATAATTTGAATAATAACAAAATAAATACAGTACAGTACATGCCTCCAAAGTGATATAATTCATAGCTTTTAATACCTTACAATATACTTTATAATTAACATACAATTATTGTACAATTTAGTCTCATTTTACTTGCAATGTTATATAATTAAATATATGGAAATTACTTAATTGATCTGAAGGATACCTTTACAGACTTGCAGATCGGAACATCCAAGAAACAGAAGCAGCACTCATGAAAGAGGAAGCTAGTGACACGAAAGAACTCTCACTGATGGAAACCTTGCTTCTCGATCCTGGTCTCTCCCGTAAAGATGTCGTCACCCTTATACTTGATATGCTCTTTGCAGGCATTGACACGGTATGTAATGTAATATACTGTGATGATATAGCGAGACCTATCTCACTCATAATTTACATTATGTATCAGGACAAATGGGGAGGGGCCTTTAACAAGCCATCGGCTTCCTGTCCTCATCGAGGCCGCTAGTGAGATGGTGGTCTTCAGGTAAATACTGGATTTTGGTCAATGTTGTTTATGGTACACTGTATAAATCCTGTGGCAAAATCAATTACTGAATTTTACATAAAAGACAGGTAAAACTAAATACAATATCATCTCTCTTTTTAAATCCTTCCAATTTATTTTTTTATTTATGTTCAGTGATATTATATGCACACTTCAATTTACTGACCTTAAATTTGATTTATGTGCAGATGTGTTAGTGACATCACACATCTGCAGGCTCATGGACAGAATCTTTCACCATCTAACAGTGAATAATCTTGTAAAATCGAAGCAACATGGGTTTCTTGAAAATAGATCCTGCCTTACAAACCTGATCCCATTTTTGGAAATGGTTACCAGTTATTCAGACTAAGGACTTACAGTTGATAGTTAAAATCATCAACTGGTTAAATACTATACATGGTTAAAACTTGTAGTAGTTGATATAGTAAACTTTGCTAAAGCTTTTGATAAGGTACCACATGAAAGACTAGCAAGGAAATTACAAGCACATGGAATAAATTATAGAATATTCGAATGGATAAAAGAATGGTTCAAACAAAAAAGCAAAGTGTTGTCCTAAATGGAAATGAATCTGACTGGAGAAATGTGATGAGTGGGGTACCGTTTGAGTTCATTTTGAGGCCAACTTTTTTTGTCATATTCAGTACATTAATGGCATAGAAGAGAATATTAAAACCCCATTGTCAAATTTGCAGATGATACTAAGATTTATGGTAGTGGGAAGTGAAAATTGGTCAAAATTATATTGATGCCTTACAAAGAGAGCTACATGAACTCCACAAATGATCGAAAGACTGGCAAATGCTTTCTAATATCGAAAAATGCAACACCTTGCATGTCGGAGCATAACAGTGTACATCACAACTACCAAATAGATGACATTGCCTATCTGTCGAACAAAACAACATTGATGAAGAAAGAAAAGGACATTGAAGTCAAAATTCACTATTTAAAGAAGGATGTACAACAAGTGGGAGCTGCAGTAAAAAAAAAAAAGCTAACCAAACCCTAGGAATAGTCAAGCGAATCTTTGACTTTAAGAAAAAGAAGATAGTGATTCAGTTGCATAAACCTCTGGTGTGCCCACCATCAGGATGACTGTATCCAAGCATGGAGACATCTTCAGAATGCCATAGCTGCTTTGGAGAAAGGTCATCACTAGGCAACAAAAATCATTCCAGAACTAAGTCGACTCATATCAGGAACAGCTAAGGGCCACAGGGTTAACAACACTGCGAACTAGACATGACAGGGTTGATCGCATCGAAACTTTTAAAATACGGAACAGTTTGGAGGACATTGATCCACATACCTTCTTTAAAAAGTCAGATGTAACACAAACAAGGAGCAACAATTCCAAGTTCAACAATCCACAATGTAGGACAGAAAATAAGAGATGCTTTTCATCCATATGGTTATAAACCCATAGAACTGCCTACCCACCAAAGCTGTAAGTGCCAAAACACTGCTGAATTTCAAAATCCAGCTCAATAAAATCAGGACAAATGACCTTTGAAAAACTGGCAGCTTTCTGTCCTCATCGAGGCCATTTGAGATAGTGGCCCCTCGGGTAAATACAATACAGTACTGTAATAGCACACAGGTATATACAGATTCTGTATATAGTACTGCACTGTAATGGTACACTGTTCTTGGTTCTGTATATAGTACTGTACCCAGTGGGCACCATTGGTTGAAAGCGACCTTTGTTACATACTGTTTACTATGTGATGTCAGTTGCTTTCAACTATCAATGCCCACTGGGGAACTGTAATAGTACACTGATCATAATTCTATATATAGTACTATCCTATAATGGTACACTAATCATGATTCTATACTGTATGTAGTACTTTAATGGTATGCTGGTTATGGTTCTACACTATACTATACTGTATTCTGCTATAATGTAATGACAATCGGTATATTCTTCTGTTTTTAGACTTGTATAATAATAGTTTACAATATATAATAATTATGTATATCATTCATTAAAATGTCTTTTGACCTCTATTCCACACCAGACTTCTCACACTATTGGATTCACACTATACTTGCTGGCACGCAACCCAGAGGTACAAGTTCGACTGCAAAAGGAAGTAGATAGTGTTATTGGAGACCTTCAGGGTCCTCTCACTTCTACACACCTAGCCCAGCTCTCCTACCTCAAAGCTGTTGTTAAGGAGTCTCTTAGGTGAGAATTACTAATAACCCTTGTTATTACACTGATAAAATTATTTAATCAATTACTCCATCTCGGATAAGATGTGTCATTGACCTCAAGCTAAGATAGCTCAGGCTTATGTGCAGCCACTCCATAAAGAGATGTAAGCTTAGAGCTCAAGAATTGACTGATTCTACCTGGATTTGTTTAAGAATCTACTAGTAACACATTATATTTCGTGTAAACCCCCTCTCACTAGGGAACAAAGATTTTTGAGATTTTGTTTGTTCTTACTGAAATGGTGCTAGAGGAATTTTAATAATTCAGTCATTCTCAAGAAGTGCCAATAACTTCATTGTTTCCATAGTAATGGTATTCTATTTAATAACTCAATCTCGGGTAAGAAAATACTCTGTTAAAGCTAGTATCAAGATAGATTATTTTTGTTCATATCTGTTCTAAACATGGCAAACATTTTCTTGCTTTCATAGTTCAGTATTGTGTATGGGTCGTATATGTTAATGTGCCGATAGGTTTTGAGTTCAACTCTGAATTCTGTGCTTCATTTGTTTTGAATCTTGCAGTTGTCTATAAGGCTTCAATGAATTTGTGTGGCTAATACCTTCCCCAGCTCTTTATACCTCTGTGAGGTGGGGCGACCAGGTTGTGGTCCCCAGTAGGCCTACCAGGACTCGTTTGACTACTGTAATCTAGTAGTGGGAAGCCATCTCAGTGAGACAGCTTCTGGAGCCACCAGGGCTCTACCAGAGGCATTTAATTAAAATTCACTGCTGTTTTTTTTTTTTTCAAAAAACTATATTACATAAGTGAGATGATAAAATGAATAAAAAAAAACATTAATTTACATTTTGTTTTATTTTCAGAATTTTCCCTTTGACAATTGGAACTGTCAGGACACTGAATAGAGATACTGTTCTCAGTGGATATGTTGTTCCCAAGGGGGTAAGTTTATTACCCTTAAATAAAAAATGCAGTTTTGATTTGTAGGTTTTAAAACTGTTCCACTGCAAACTTTTCTTTTTGTTACTCACAATACAGGTATTGTCTTAAATATTTAAAGGTCATGTAAATCATTTTGAAAATATTTATAAATAAAATCTAACCTAGTATTTGTAAGCAAACCATTGTGATGCCTTGAATAACACATGATCACACAGCTGAACATTTTGATAGGACTTTGGGCTTGTCATGTGTGGCAGATTTCAGTAAGAAAAATGGTTGTGATTGTATTGTGTCAAGTGCAGCAGTGTTGTTGCCCCAACCACACTTATGACAAGTATGGTAGAGTCGTGTTATTGAATCTTCTGGTTGTGTTGCATTGTGCATTTATCTTGTGTGTGTTTGTGAGAGTAATTACTAAATGTTGTTACATGATGAGAGCTATACTCCATCTTCCAAGCACTCTGTCATATATCGCTTTGAAGCTACTGATGGTTTTGGCCTCCACAACTTTCTCACTTGACTTGTTCCAACCATCTACCATTGTTTGCAAAAGAAAACATTCTAATTTTTTTTTGGCACCTTTGTTTCCTTAGCTTGAATCTGTGACCTCTTGTTCTTGAAGTTGCTGGTTTCAGGAATTCCTCTCAATTTGGTCAATTCCTGTTATTACAGTATTTTGTAATTGGTGATCGTATCGCTTCTTTTTCTTCTATCTTCTAGCGTTGGTATATTTAATGCCTCTAGCCTCTCTTCATTACTCTTGCTTTTTAATTCCAGAAGCCATTTTGTAGCATGCCTTTGTACTGTTTCCAGTTTATTGATGTGCTTCTTGAGATATAGGCACCATACAACTGCTCCATATTCCAATTTGGGTCTCACAAAGGTCATGAACACTTTTAGTATTTCACCATCCATGTATTTAAAACAGATTCTAAAGTTGGAAAGCTTCACACACTCTGTTCTTTCTGGGGGGAGCCCAGTCACTTCCTTCAAGCTAGCTTACTGATTAAGTGCCTTACTACTTGGAGTTATCATTCAAGAATTCTTGTTGTCTACCAGAGACCACAAGCCAGACCCCCTGCAGAGCACAAGGAGCAATGGCTCATGAACACTTTGCATGTAAAGTTTATAAATATATAGTATATACTATACTGTTTATACTGTACCTACAATTTTCTCTCATCTTTTTTTCATTTCATGTAATCTGTTATCATTTTTTGTCTATAATTTTTGCAAGTATTTACCTCCTTAAAATTTTCTTAGATTAAGGACCTGCCCGAAACGCTGCGCGTGCTAGTGGCTTTACAAGACTGTAATTACCATATTTGTATCCTCACATTCCTTATGTACATTCTTGTATATGCATAAATAAATAAATAAATAAATAAAATAAATAAATAAAATAAATAAATTTTTATTCAGGTAAGGTACATACATACAAGGTAAGATACAAAAGTTGATGGATTTATAGATAGAGCTAGTATATACAATGCCTAAAGCCACTATTACGCAAAGCGTTTCGGGCAGGCGAAAATATATTTATTTATAAATAAATATTTATTTATAAATATTTTCGGGCAAAGCGTTTCGGGCATCTTATCATCTTGCCAATGTCCAAAGAAGCACCCAGAATCTAGGCGAATCAAAGCAGACTACTACAGGTTGAAAAATAAAACCAGCCCTTTGAAAATATCAAAAGAACTTCCCCAGTAAGAAAACAACCAACCAAAACTTCATCAAACTAGCCTCCCTGCTAGATAGCTCCACCTCCCCATCGTTGGGGCAACGGGGGAAAAACCGGCCCGTCACCAGCCAGTTCTTGACTGATGTTTGTGCCTGGTCATCAGTGCGCTCTGGCTTCAGATCTCTTGTTTTGGGGGTGTTTTGCCTTTTTTAGGCTGTTCCTACAAGACTGCATAAGCCAAGAGTTTAGTGTACTCACTGTACACTGTAGACTAATTGATCTTTCATTTATCTGGAAGTCGGTTTCAAGTGCACATTATTACACACATTAGATGTCACAAACATTCCATAATGAATATCAATGAATTTTACTCATTCATGTTTCATTCTTGAGTAATTTTTCTCAGACATTTTTTTTCCCTGCAGTGGATGGGAATCTGCCTAAATATGTTGATGGGATGGGATGAGTCACTTTTCCCTCGTGCCAAAGAGTTTATCCCAGAAAGATGGTTACGCCACAAGCCTCTGGGACCCATCCACCCTTATGCGTCACTTCCATTTGGAACTGGAACTAGAATGTGTATAGGGCGACGCATAGCAGAACAGGAGCTATACATCTTCTTAGCCAGGGTAAGTATACTATACAAAAGTAATATACATTAGCATTTAAATTTTACTATAGATTCCCTATAATATAAGGTTTATTTTCCACGCACTGAAGATACAGCATATACAATGAAATCATGGAAATGAATGCTCCAATGCCTCATGACAAATCAAAACGACTGGTCATGGGCTTATATCCTCTTATCACACATTTTTATTTGAACTACCACTATCACTAATTTTATTTGGACAAACCTCATATGAATAACTGACATATCAGATATAACTGGCATTCTGGACACATCCAGATAAATAGTTCAGGAGAAAAAGATTGTCTGCCCCTCCAATTGAAATTCAATTTTCACCAGGCCAATGCAAGGCAGATAAGTTTTTTATACATTTTAATTATCTTTGCATAAAGCTGTATCAATGAAAACAAATTAATTAAGCATATAATATGTTGAATTTTGGATGATTCCCAATCTTTAATGGTTTGAATGCAATCTTCAGGGTGCCACCTGTGAACTCGTTCAACCAGACACCAGATTAGCTAGACAAATTAGCTTGTATCCTTTAGAATACAACATCCTAAGCTTGGTTATATTTCAAATTGCAGTATTTAACATCTTGGGTGAATTTGTAATTTTTTAGTTTTTGGTAATGCGATGAGAACAGATGATGGCAACACACATACAAAGGGAAAACTAATTTATTAATATTTTAACTACCATTGCCAAACCACTTCAATCACCTTTCGTGGTGGAGTGCTGCTCAACAACACTGCACCTTCAGTGAACACTATTTACTTTCTTTTCCTGCTCCTCCTATATTTTTTTTTTCACACGTAGGTGTTTTCCAAGCTAAAGCCTCCAACGTTGCTGATAGTGAGGCAGCCAGCACTGAAAACAAGACTTAACGTAATAGCCGAACCTGCTATAGTTAACTGTAGCAAATGTTTAATTTATTATTAGTATTTTAAGGCTGTTTAAATGCCACGAAGAAAATTCTGAGACAATTCCCTCAAGGCAAGAGTTACCAGAGGGAACAAAGCCTCCATGATTATATTAATAATGACAAAATATGATCTGATGTTCCCCAGGTAATGCATCGCTTCAGTGTCGACTACAAGTATGAGGACATGGACCTTGTGACCAAGCTTGTGTACATGCCATCCGAACCACTAAAGTTTTCCTTTACTGAGCGACGGTGAAGATGCTTTTCTTATATCCCTCAAGACTGCACCGATATGTTGAACTAAGCTATGCTGACATTCCTCTTGAATGTACTATAGAGAATACACATATAGAAGTCTCTAAAGATTATTAGAATATTCCATAAGTTGTTTTTTTTAATCTAATGTACCATGCCATGATTTTGGGGTATGATTTCATTTTTTTGTTCTCCAAACAGGGGTTTTTCACCAAAACACCAGTATTGTTTGAGATATAAGAAATCGATGTTCCTATTAAGCTAATATTGCCACAGTGAAGCCATTTTGTACATACTGTACAATGCCCAGAGGGGGGAAGAGGGGGGGGGGTAGAAGAGGGGGTGGCTGAGGCGACCCCCACCAGCTCCCCCCTCACAAAGTGAAACTTCTGAAGGAACTAATTGTGTATCTCGGAATACCACGTGTATCTGCAGAATAGAGCTACAGTATTAGCTCTTGGACCCTGCCTTTCTAACCAATATTTGTCGTCTATTACATATATTTCTCTTACGCACGCACACACACACGAGAGGCGGGACCAAAGAGCCAAAGCTCAACGCCTGCAAGCACAAATAGGTGAGTACACACACACACCAAGGGAGCAGCAGCCTGTAGCAGCTGTCTAACTCCCAGGTACCTATTTACCTGCTAGGTGAACAGGGGCATCAGGGTGACAAACTCTGCTCATTTCATTCCGCCAGGCATAGAACCCAGGCCCTTAGAACTACGACCCCCAGAGTGCTGTCCACTCAGACACGTGCATATGTATATTTGTGTAAAAGTAGTCAATTATATTTCACTTTTGTAAATGCACAATCACATTCTGTGGTCAAGTACGCAATAAACTATCTATACTATACGTAAGACTGTACATTAAACCCTGATTATGCAGGACAGATGCAAAATATATGTATTGTGTGTATACTGGTTACCATTGTTAGAGCACTATCACCACCTGTGGTCGAGTGCTCAAATAACTAATCACATTATATGGTGTCTAACAGATCTTTAACCATCCCCCCATGGATGACAGAAGACAATGTACACATGCTGATTAGCATTTGTAAATGTGTGGGCTACATCTGTGGAAGAAAAACTTAAACTGCTCCCAACAGTGACTACCAGTAGTAGTACACATGCTTCCAACAGTGACTACCAGTAGTACATAAAATGCCCCTAACAGTGACTACACATTGTTCAGAACAGCAGCAAGCATTGCTGTCTTCTCTATCAATAATACCATTGGTTAATATGGTTTACTCTCAACAGCAGCAATACTGTACTAATGAATATTAACTTCATTTAAAGTAATAGTATAACTTGTAAACATTAACACTATAAATCAGTACTCTGCAACATCAGCCGAAAAAACACCTCTGCTTAGTCCGAGTATTCAGTCCAAGTACAAATTCAAAACTTAAGCTTTTCATTCAGCTAATTGCTAACCTGAACTTCTAAATACTCTAAAATTAAACCTAAAACATTGATGGAATTTGTAACATTTTGCTATCGTACAACACGGTTGTATCCATACCTTTCCAAAATCATTTTGTCCTTTAACAAATTACTGTAGTTTCTAATGTCTATCTTGCAACACATGCTGAGGAGACTGGACACCACAAGCATAGCTTTCATCCATTAACTACACTTAGGTAATTACACATACCAAATGGTATTTACTGGGAATGCTATAATTCAAGTGCAGTTTTGCTGCAGCAATGCTCAGATATAAAGCTAGAAATAAACTTTCCATACATATAGCAAGTAATTTCTACAGGGGTTGAAAGTTAGTAGAAAATTCACTTGCCAAGTAGCATGTACGAAACCAAGCTCTCCCTCCCTCGAATTCTGTCATATTGCTCTTGTATAGTAAGTGTACTGAACTGGCCTTCATGAAACTTTAAAAAGACTGCTTCACAAACTTCAGTTTTACAAATGATCAAAATTGCCAATTTGTATACAGTATGTAAAACTATTTTCAATGCAAGAATTTCTACATTTTTAGTATGCCGTCTCATGCTAAAAATAGTCCAAAAACTTCCATAAACTGTCCAAAACTGTAAAATACAGTACATGCAAACATTATGTAATATACCCTTTATATTTTTCTTTGAAATTATATACCACACAGCATATTGAAGTCTAGAGCACTAACAGGATACAAATTTGGGTCTAGACACGTCCCACTTATGCATGTTAATGTTACACTCGCCACTGTGACCAACTGGCTACCGTGTAGAACTCTTGCCCGAGGCTGTTTTTAGCCTCATAAGCACCCTAAATTTCAATTCATAATTTAACATTTATTGTAATGCTTCTAGTTACTGTACTGTACTTTTGTGGAAATGTATATATATGTTAATAAAATTCATTTTAATATTTTTTATGCTATATTTATAAATATGGACTTGTTTCTGATACAGTTTTAGACAGGCTATATCAATAAAGACTATAAATGGAAAATATAAGTTCCAGATGAACAGATGAAAAAAATTTAAATACAAAACCTAAAACGTAAGTTTCACAATGTGAATATAAATGAACTAGAGGGTGTTGGTCGTGGCACAAACATTACCACGTCAACCATTTCCTGGAGTCGGCTGATAATGCAGCATGCCAACAGTTCATACAAAATGAGTTGATATGTTACATTAGAAGAAAATGTGGTTAAAAAAAAAAAAATCAATTGAGGCTGATATATATACAGGTACTGCATATTGAAAAAAATGCAAAGTCTAATTCATAAAGCAGCAACTTCACAGTTCATTAAGTGATAAACAATAATACTTTGAGTATAACTTTAAGGAGCTCCTGGGGCCCCCATGGCATGGTATATTACAAAAATCAGCAAAATTATAAAATTCAATATGTACCGAAGCTAACAAAATTAACTACCATGCCTAAATACCATAAAATGCACAAAGTTGAAAATGCAGTTCAAGATATTTCATTTAAAAAACAATTGATTTCATATCAAAATTCTATTTCCAATACTGTTACACTAAACTATCATGGCAAGTAATGGGCTCAAATTGCATATTTCATGAATATGATATTAAAAAGTGTACAGAGGCATGGAACTGAACTTAGCACTACCTACCCAAACAATGACAGTAGTACCTACACTAAGTAATGTCCACTTTATCAGACAGTGAAGGCATTATGATGTACATTACCGGAGTGAGCGAGCAGGACAACCCGTTCTCGCACTTTCTTACAGTCAATATTGACTTATTAAATATGTGTATGTGACATACTAAACATACTAGTTTACCTTGAAAAGCTTCATAGAAAACACCGACCTTACCTAACCTTATTATGTTAAGATAAGCATCTTATTGCTTTGTAATTACAATTATTACTTAACCTATACCTATAATAGGTTAAGTAATAATTGTAATTTCGAAGCAATAAGATGCTTATCTTAACATACTAAGAAGGTTAGGTAAGGTCGGTGTTTTCTATGAAGCTTTTCAAGGTAATCTAATATGTTTAGTATGTCACATATGCACGTATTTAATAAGTCAATATTGACTATACGAAAGTGCGAGAACGGGTTGAGCAGGAAGGGGAGGAGAGAGGATTGGGGTAAGAAAGCCCACGACTCCAAGGGCTCGACTCTGCCTCGGCAGATCCATGGGACAAAATTCAGACATTCATTTCTTCTGCACGTTAGAACTTTTCAAGTTAACTATAATTACTTTCCTGTTTAATATTCACATATGTCTTATTTGTACAGTATTCCTAATTTGCAATAACTGTTGAATGATATATTAATGTTCCGTGGTTCTTGACGTTCACAAATGTAACTACAATGAAATACGTAGTTATTCGTTCACAGATAAACGTAAAAGAGAACAGACCTAAAAATGACTAGTACAAATGAATCGCAAATGTTTTAATTTGAAAATACTATGTTTTATAAATGTAATTTTAGTCACTTAAAATTTACATTCACTTACCTGATAAAAAGAAACAAGTGTACCAAGCCAAGAAAGAAGCTTTTAACATTTAAGGTATTCATGTGTGGAATATGAAAATCTCTTAAAGGCCTAAAATTAATTCTCCATATCTAACCAAAAAAAAATTGATGAACAAGCTCTCCATTGTATGATAATGCCTAAATTATTTTCAATTTCCTAATTATAATTATTAACTTCCAAAATTGCACAAGGACACACTAAGATGAATTTGAAGTTAAGAACACAGGTAAGACGTAACTGAGTGGCTTCTGGTCTGCTCTCCTCAGTCAAACCCATCACTGCCTATACCAGTTCAGATGTCTGAAAATAATTTCCATTTAGTACTTTTGTTGGCAACTCAACACCATGTACTCATCAAAACCCACCCCTAATATAAACTTCCCAATGTAACATTTATATGAATAACAACTAATTTACATTAAGTGACAGGCTAGCTACCAGCTAGTGTCAATTATTGAGCAGCTGTTTTGTCAATACAAATGCCATATTGTCCAGCACCTGTTCCACAATATCAACAGTTTCTAAGTAACAGGTTCCATTTTCAGCACAACATGAGCAAAATTAAATCAACAAAGGGTGAAATTATCATCAGGTATTCACATCACTTTCACCCTGAAAAACAATGGTGCCAACAACTCTTACACTGCCACAAGCAGATCTTGGAACATCCTGCAACAGAATGTAGCTTGAAATAACCTGAGATATTTGTGTCACCCCAAACATTGAGTGCAGAATACATCCCCCTCTGCACCTGACTTGGGGTTATCTGCTTACACTATTGCAGTGATCTGCTCCTCACTATTCCATACTCCTCGATGTAAACTATTTAAATTCCCAGCTCAACAAATAAATTGATCTTTATAAATTATATATATATACACATACATGTATACATATAATTATGTATATATATATGCATGCATGCATGCATTCATATGCAGTGGAACCTCGACTTACGACCATTGCCTAGACTAGCTACTTTGTTAATACAAGTATGGGTCGACCAAGCGCATGTTTGCTGGTGGCACGGACGACCCCGCCTCAGCTTACCAGAGCCACCTGCTTAGTGATGATCGTGCTTGAATTCTTTGTAAAGAACGTCATTGATTTTGTGCTTTTTCATTTTTTGAACATAAATGTATTTACAGTATATCATGTCATGGATCCCAAGAAAGTCAGTGGTAGGGTTCAATCTAAGAATATAATTGTGAGTAGAGGCAAGAAAGGATGTCCCTTCCTCATTAAGAAAATGTGTGAAGTATGGGAAGAACTGCAAAGTTTTATTGAAAAAACTCACCCTGATAAAGCTGAAGCAGGCCATTGCATTGACCTTTTAAATGACAATGTGATGTCTCACTACATACAAGTATTAAAATGTAGGGGAAAAAAAAGTGTCTTTAGACAGATTCTTAGTAAGACAAGCAAGAAGTGAGCCACACCCAAGTCCTAGTGGTATGCCTGCAAAACATAGGAGAGAGTACCCCAGAGAAATCACTTCCTGATACTATAATAGAAGGGGACTCCCCCCCCCCCCCCTTTCCATACAGTAACACCTCTCCTCCTCACTGTCATCCATACGCCAACAAGAGTCCTCAAAGGCAAGATATACATACTGTATTGTAGCTAGTACAAAAAGAGTGGTATTCGGTATAAAATGTATTAAGTAAATATTTTTGGATGGTGTGGAACGTATTAATTCAATTTACATTATTTCTTATGGGAAAATTTGTTTCGCGTTATGACCTGTCTCTAGGAATGTTTTAAATTTCTAAGTAGAGGTACCACTGTATATACATATACATACATACATATACAGTACATACATACATATACATACACACAAAAAATAAATGAATAATGAGTCATAATAATGTAAAATTTGTGAAAGGGTTTAATTCCCTTCTAGTCCAGATTATAAAATATTGACTAATAGTAGTCTCTTGGCTTTTGTTTTACCAAGCACACTTGTTGAAAAAATGTTACACTTGTCACTTGGGTCGAATCATTCAAGACGCAAAATATAAATTAATAAAAATATTGTAATGATAAAAATTAATAAATTCAATGATCTTGAGAAACAAAATACCTTTCAGGAATATTTATTGACAAGAATTATATGGTACAATCCCTCGGTAAACCACGTGATTAAACAACTAGCCAAAGTGCATTAGAGGCTAGATAACTAAATTACTTTTGTACAAAATGTAATCTCGAAACTCAAGAATATCAATTTACATGGACTATTTACAATAACCATTCATAACAATGATGCAGTATGGTATTTTACATGAAACAAAACGTGTTCCATGGACGACACCGGAATTAATAATCCTAAAGACAGAGGGAAAAAATAAAATCTACTGCACGTTTCATAACCACAATTAATCCAAATTAAAAATGTTGTATAAACAAGTCTAAATGTTCATGAAAGAAACTCACTTTGGTTCTTGTATATTCACACACATTTATTTAAATCTTTCACAACTTATGCCCTCGAACAGTTTCCAAACATTGTCATTGACGATGTCTAATATGGGTGCTTTTAACAGTATAATCACTTCAATGCCAATTATTACGTCTGGCACAAGTCCATTAAAATAAACTATTATTCATAATAGTATTGTAAATTAGTCTTTACTTCATATGCAGCAAATACGAAATAAATTAATTCTGCAGCACTTTCACAAAGTTTTATTGTTGCCACTAAATGGGAAAGTGATATGACACTAATGTTCAATGACCATTATAATTTAGCTGTGTTCAAAATTGGTTTGGTAATGTTATGATGCCCAATTTACATGCTTTGCAGCAGCACAAGACAATTGGTTATTACGATAAACAAAAAAACAAACTACAATGTGAGAAAACATTGTGCCTTTTTATTTTTTTAAGTTTCAAAATTAATTCCAACTGCATATTGCTCAGGGATTTTTGGTTAATCGTTTAGCATTTATACAGTTGAATTGTGATTATATCTTAACCACTTTGCATAATACAAGATTCTAAAATAAGCACATTTATAACCTTATGAATTTTATATCCAATATTTCTTAAATATCTTATGACTTGCTAGTCGTGTGTAGACACGTGAACACCAGCAGAGTTGAGCAAGCAGTTGTAGTGCTACTGTAATGTGAAAACAGAACTGTAATTATGAAGATTTCTTCCTAACATCAATCTAGCTCTTCCTCAAACATGGGTCGTGCTGAGGATGCCCTTGATGTGGGGGAACTGTTGCCAGTTGAAGAGGAAGAAGCACTCGTGCTGCTGGCCAGAGAAGATGCACTTGCTCCTGTCTGTGGCCTTGTAAATCTAAAAACAAAATGCGATTCAATTGCTATAAGAACCAAAATATAATTAACCCATATGAGCAACATTACTGACTTACTCTCTACCCATCTACAAATCATATTCCAGTGAAAAGTAAAACATGTGAACCAGTGCTTATCAGAAAGTACTAATGAGAAGTACAAAGTAAGCTCATTTTGTCCCAAACTAAACCTCGTGCAAAACATTCTGTACAATAACTAGGCAGACTTGATAACCATCTCAGATTCACATGTAAACACACAACAATACTAACACACGCAATATTTCAATTACAAAGGGTAACAAGTGCAATTTCTCCTTCAGGAACTCTTGCCCCTGCATGGCTCTGTACACATTTCCTTATCACACACCTCATAGCCTATTCTAACATGTTCCTCACCACCACTTTTCACTACACTTATTCCACTCATAAATTTCCATCATTCATTAAAACCTTTTAAAACTATGCACATAGCCCATCCCTATATCCCTTTCTAGGCTGCTCCTGCACCCTCATCCCTTATGGGGGCGAGTTCAATGATGCAAAGGCAAGATACATGCTTACCTACCGATTTGTAACTACAGAATTAAAGCCAGCCCTAGTCATGCCTCACAACCATCGTACCGGGTGAATTTATAGCCCTTAACTTATCCATTTATCTGTCACACTTGTTCTTGAAACCAATTGGCAGATGCTTCCACCACCTCTGGTTCCAGCTCATTTCACTTGTTTATCACTCACTGCAAACGAGTGCAATGGATTTTCCCACACTAAACTAGAGCATTATGTAGATCCAGCAATACACACACACACACACACACCTATATATGAATGACAAAGATTGCAGGGACGTACAACCCACATATCACCAAGAACTCTAAATGACCGACCAGGATTCGAACCCGTATATCCAGGATCACCCCAAACGTACAGGACCGTGACAACCATAACATTCATCATCTATGATCAATGGTGCAGTGGTACGATTTTTAATACCTCCCACAAATCAAAATTCGCCAAGTTAAATCTACTGTTCTAAAAACAGTCCCCTTTAATACTTCACATCAAGTCCTAAGAAATTAAATTCTCCTATATGCACTCTTCCTATTAACAAAGAATTAAATACCAATGATATTTAATATCACAAGCCAAGTGCTGGTCTAAGGAATGCTAACTTTATTCTAGAAGAATGAAGCCAAAGATTATGATTACAAGAATAGTTATGCTTCATTCAAACTATTCATCATTTCTACTTTGTATCCAAGGCTTAAAGCACTTGTCCACTCCATATAGGACAAGTCAAATCAATGAAACTCTCAGCAAGTGCAGGCAAATGGAGATCAAGAAAATTATGACAGTCAGGGAAACTGACATTTTTTAGAGATGCAAGGAAAGTATAAGCCAAAAAGGATGTGATGGTAATAGCAATATAACCAAACTTCTACATGATACTGAACAACTGGTATGAAACAGGATGATAATTGTGACGGTAGTTACAACAGACTTCCAATTGTCAAAATAGGAGAAAGATACGTGCAAAATATAAGAAAATAAATTAAATCTGATACTGAATAGGATGTGATTGATAAATAACAGTTGTGCATAATAAGTTTAGAAAAGCCAGGATGGCATTAATTTGTATGGCTTCCTCCTCAGAATATCTCTACATGCCAACCTTACCTTGTGTTATCAGAGCAATCAAAGGCTTCAGGACCTTACATAGAGACTCTTAGTCTCAAAGAGAAATACAAGGTAAAGTTATGAGGCAAACTTTGATACAAATTTTGAAAATATGAGGATGAAAGGGGTTACTTGCCTGCTCACCTTGAACCAGGGTTGGTACTGTTGTTGCTGCTACTTGATGCTGCCGAAGCGTTGCCTAGAGTTGCCTGCACGTCCTCAAGTAACAACTTCCGGCAAATTGGACAAGTTCCATGCTGATAATTGAAAGTAAACAAAATGCAATAGTTATTTAAAAAAAACAATGAGCACATGCTATAATATGTAAATAACTTCAACACATGTTACTTCCATTACAATATTAGAAAGTTTAAAATTCCAACAAAAAAATGAACAGCAAAAGTATAATATTCTATATTCCTAACTCCCATGACATGAATTTTACCCAGAGAAAAGGCAGCTACTCACTCATAAGATACATTTAAATCAAATGAGGAAATACATATAACTGTTAGGGGAAAAAGTTGTACTTACAAGTTCTAACCAGGGAATGATGCAGTCGTTGTGGAAACAATGCTCACAGTAAAGCCGACGAACACTCTCATCTATAGTGAAGTCTTCCATACACACAGAGCACTGTAGGCCCTTATCTAGAAAAAAAAAAGATAGTCATCCTTACAAGTTGGTTAATTATTCACGACACACAGCTAATACACCGAGTACCAGGAGAGTACAATGAAGTGCAAGTGATATAAGTACAGTACAAGGAAGTAAGGGTACTGTAGTATCAGGGCAGTTCTAATGTTGGTTTAACTATCGGGTCAGTAGAAAATACAGATGGTTCAGTATCAGAAAAGCAGGAATACAAGCCAGTTTATGGTTGTAAGTAAAAATGAAGCGAAAAGGTTATAATGAATGTTATAATCTCGTCAAGTAAATAATCACTCGAGGTTCGTTGAATTTCGATTCAATTAACCTCAATTTGGCGAATCTCCGGTTGGAACATACACTTCCATGCCAGATTTACTCACCCAATGCAACGAACACAAGTTCGCTGATGCAGGGGGATGTGTGGATTTGCTTAGGATGTTGGGACTGAATTCATAGTTGAAGGCAACATTACAAGAAATAGATGGGGCCTTGGGAAAGCTACTGATCATATTTAAAAACAACCTCTATGGTTCTTCAACCGATGCAGAGGGTTTCTGTTTAGTAAATATGCGCTCTTTTTTCCGTTCAAAATGAGATGTCGAGGCTTAGGCATGGAATATATGCTAATGTGGTTACAGCTTTTACACACAGGTTCTCTTTGTTGTTGCTCTTCATATGACAAGTTGAAATTATAATTTCACTGTGAAATCAGCCCACAGAGCATGGGAAATATTAGGCATAAATTGTAACATTTAATATGGGGTCCAATTCCGTTTTTAATGAGTTACGTACAAGGGCGCAACATTATGAAAATTAGTGGGGGGGCCATTATGACTGCCATTTAGCACATAAAAAAACAAATTCTATGGTTTTTAATATGGCTCCAATCACGGTTTTGATTATTTTTGTAGATGGTCTCAGCATTACAAGAGACAGCTGGAGCCCTGGAAAAACTATTGAGAATATTTAAAACCAAATGCTATGGTTTTTTATTCCAAGTTGGCAATGTTTTCATTCGGCTTGGTATGGCCCTGCTACCTTTTGAAAATGAGTTTTGAGGCTGGGAACACAAGAAATAAGCTAGATGTGGTTAAATTTTTGTGCAAACAGTCATTTTGAAGTTGTTACATTATAGGTTGAAATTAACATTTTGCCAAGTGAAATCAGCCTATAGCGTGAGAAATGCATCATGGAGGCATTTCAGGCTGCAAAAAATACCCCATTGCAACGAATTTGGGTTGGTCAAAAATAGTTCATTGACTCAAGACTGTATTGGTCAAGAATCAAGAACCAGTGTTGGTTCAATACACAGAATGTTGAGTTCATAAAGAGAAACGATATCTTGCTCAAAAACCTGAAATGATCATGCAAATTATTCAAGTTAAAATACTATTCATTCCATGCTATACTGCATTATTAACTGCACCCTAGAAGCTCCACATACAAAAATCAGTAGAGATTTGAAAGTCCTTGTCTAATATAGCCAATTTTCTGCACAAGGAGGATGAGGCAGGGCAATGGATTGGAGTACCTAGGGGGCAGGAACAAAAAAGGACACTTGATTGGAGCACCTGGTAGGGTAAGATCAGGAATGGATTAGAATGCTTACCTGGGATGGCAAAGTCAGGGATTGGCAATGGATTACAGTACCTGGAGGGCAATTTCAGGGAAGTTCGATGGATAGGAGTACCTGGAGGGCAAGGTCAGGAACTAGTGTTGAAGTGGTCACAAAGAAAACAAATACAATCAAGCAGTCTACAAATATCTCCAGCTTCAACAGGCAACAGCATCCCAACTGGAGGACACGTAAGTAGTCTCCCACCAATTCACATCATGAAGCAAAGCATCCACCTCAAAAGTACTTTGATCATGGAACAGCAATATACAGATTTATTGTGGTTCCACACAGACATGAACAGACCCATTTAGAGCTTGCCAAGGGGTCTCAAATTTCCAATAGAATAGCAGCCTCATCCACTTCAAATTTCATCCCAATTTGGAAACGAAAAAAAAAAAAAAAAAAAAAAAAAAGATAATGTCTACTGGAAGAGAATGTCAAGAGCCACTCTGAAGCAATGCACAACCTTTGGCATTAGACGGTGTACTGAAATGAAGCGGCCAAGAACTGATAAACATCCAAACCCTTGAAAGAAATGCATTTCAGAGCTATTCGCACTGCTACGATCCCAGACACTTATGGGAGACCTCACCATTACAGACGAATAAACCTGCCACACATGATTATGGTTGAAAAAACTACCAGTTCACTTTGGGTGCTTTATAAAATGTTGGGCAGTGGAGCTTCCGCTACAAAGATGAGGGCCATTGGGGTTTCCAGGGTGTGCAGAAATCTTGCCTCTAAGCACCTAGATGTGGGACACTGTAAATATAGTAGTCTGCAAATGTTTGATTGGGTATGCAACCACTAGAGGTCTCTGGTAGTGGCCTTGATTGGATAAACAAAGGAAGGGATCAATGCCCACCTAAACATGGTAAGGGAAACAAGTTGCCCTTTTGTCTCACAATGCCTCAGGCCAAGTGACTGCAAGGCAAGATATTCATGTTTATTCTGTGTGTGTGTGTGTGTGTGTGTTAGTGATTATTTATATGTTATGACCAAATCTGCACAAAAACAATCCAAAGAAGGTTGCCCTGCCGCTTAGAATTGGAAGAGACATTTGTGCAAACATGGTAATAATGGTAGTGGGCATATAAAACTCTTTGCCCAAAAGCGTAAGGTGCAGAGAAGATAAGAAATATACATAGGATCTTGTATACACAATTAATTGCAGGTTCTGCCACATGCATAATCTGATATGTGCTGCCTTACCACCTTCATTAAGCCTATCCTGCAAGATTTCAGATTTATGCCCAGTAAAAAGAGAAGCATAGCTTTAAAAGTACAAATACAAGTAACCTACTAAGGTATGATCTGTTCAGAAAATTACACATTTGAAATATATAAATGAATTAACTACATCTCATAAAAAAACATTTAATGTAGCACTAAATAACAGTTCCAGCACCCAAGAGTTGACAAAAAAAATTCCATCCATTCACTCAATCACTAACAAAATCTTACCACATTGTTCTTTGGTGATGTTGGATGTAGGTATTTGTGAAATCTGATCTCTCGATAAAGGAGGTGGACCTGTACCATCTAGCTGATTCATCAACTGCGTTATGATGGCATCTAATCCACCACGACCCCAAGCATAATCTCCAGGATTAGAAGCCAGATTTGATGCAACTAGAACTGGAAATCCTGGAAGATCAAAGCCTACAGGGGGCACTGCAAAGTCTGCTCCCCCTACACTGGCCTCGATCACACCTGAAGTCATCTGCATTATGAGATCGTGGATGAGGGGTGCCAAAGCCGAGTGCCTGTCCCCGCTTACTCTGAAATGGAGTGCACAAATTTCCATTTAATACAAGACTGCTGCACTTCAGTTTCCTCCACTACCTGTAAAAACACAACCAAATAAGGACTGATTATAAAAGCAATTATATACCTATCCACAGTAGTAAAAAATATATTTAGTGACCAAGGAAGCACTCTTACAGAAAGTTAAGAGGCACTTGTGAATGATGCCGATTGCTGTATTTCATACTTCAGTAACAATTATCCTTTAGGCGCTTCGGCAATGCAGAATTACATGGAGGCTGCCACATAAATGAACTGTGACAGTGTGATCTTAACAAAATAACTTCCATGATAACTTGTATACTCTGCAGACTGAGGGTTTAGAGGTTTTGTATGTGAAAGCATTCTTTGGGGGGATATCCACTGACAGGCTTTCGTTACATTGTGTACAGAGGATTCGTGTACAAAAGCTTGTCCTACTGGTAGCAGTTTTCATTTTTTTTTTTTGGTGTTACTAGGCAGAGGTCTGCTGTGTCAGCACCTCACCCTGCAAAACGACACAATCTGATTTTGCATGGGAAAACTGAGGGAACATTGGCCTCAAGTTCAACTGTTCATGCCTGCCCTGTGCATTTTAGATGAGCATCTCCCAGCCAGTGTAGTTCTGTTGGAGGTTGGATTCATGCCCATGATAATGTTGGTGGTGGTGCCGCAAGCAGCATGAGTGTACCCATGGAATGATGCTGCCAATTTTGTTCCACAAATATCTACATATGATACACATGTAGGGTTACACTCAATGATGAAGATGCCTGAAACCAACTATTTTACAGCATATTTTGATGAGCTGCTTGTGAAATATATCATTCAGAAAATGAATTGATATGCAGCCAAGCTAATTGAAATTAGGGCATATCACCTCACTCACATTTGCAACACTGGAAAGACAACCATAGCTGGACTGTATGTATTTCTTACCCTATGTACGATTATGAAACATTCAATGAAATGTGTCATTCGGGATTATTGGAACAAAGATAGGTTTGTTCCTACACCAAATTTTGGGAGATACACATCTCGGCCTAATGACAGGCATCTTCTAATTCTCGGGTGTTTTTATCTTGAGAATAGTGATAAGATTGCAAACGGACTGTGGAAAAATGGGGCATGTGTTTAGTGACCTGAATGGAAAGTACAAAGATTTCTATGTACCAAGTCAGAAGCTAGTGATTGATGAAGTACTTGTTCTATTAAAATAACATCTTGGTTTCAAGCAGTATATTACCTCCAAATGCCACAGATCTGAACTAAAATCATTTGTTCAGTATGATTATGAAACAGAAATGGTGATAGAATATTAGAAGTGCATTGAAAAAATATGTGAAGTGAATATGATAACTATTCACACTAGTGATATGGTAGACATTGGCAAGATCAACTATATAACAAAAGGTAAAATACACAAACCAAATCGTGTCAGGGACTATAATATAAATGTGTGCTTGGTTGATGACTGGTGTGATAGTTGACACTGTGGAATGTGTGTACAAGTGTCAAGTGAACAATGAAAACATTACTTCACCTTGTGAATGTAATCATACTGAATTGTTACATGTATTTAGTGAAATCGGGCCAAACACCAAAGATATGCGTGTTTAGTCTTGCTATTGTCTCAACTGCTGGAAAAATCTGATCAACAACAAGAACATGTTGGAACAAGAAGAGTTACCAGTCCAACAATGCCTTACACTGCTCCAAACAGACCAGCTTTCAAAGACGACTTTACAACACAGCTTGAATATCTAATTTCTCAAGGAAAAAGGGTAAAAGACACACGTGAGTGTGTAAAACGTCACACGTGTCTAAGTACACAGAGAAGAGAGAAGGCACAGAAGATAATTACTACCTCATACAAAAAATGAAGCACTGCATTGTACACTGCTCCTGGAATTATCACGAGCTCCAGAACTTCCGAGTGTGCAGTATGGAGCACAAACATGTAGTGTGTGAAAGTGTATATACAGTATAGTGATATAAATAGTACAATAGTATTGTACTTTACTGTAAATAACCATTTTGTTGTACATATTAGTGACAAGCATATTGACATTATATGACAAGTATATCAATGTTCTGCACGTTCTACAATAAAATTACTCGACACCCTACTGCACCATGTCAATAAAAAAGTCTATAAACATCTTGGTGACATTGAAAAAAAAAAAAAAACATATATACTGTAAATATATAATCACAGCAACTTTCGCTGCATGAATGGGCCACATGACCTGGCTAGGAAGTTTGCTGCAGGAGCAATCATGAATTGGTATCATCATAGTGAGATTTCTTCACCTTACCACAGACTGTGATATTTAACTTTTTCATTCCCATGACTATTTTCATTTCATTTTTTAATTATGCACCCCATACCCATCCCATAGGCAGTGGTGCAAAGGGTTACAGACACACACAATAGGTTCAGGAACGGAACCCCACAGTTCGTTTACCTAAGCAAGTGACAATCTTTTGAAGCTAGTTACACTATTATATACACATGTACACATACATATCAATATTCTTAAAAAAAAATAAAATAACAACTACACATGAAAGATACAAAAATAGAGACAAGGCAAATTGATCTCATTCTGTTGCACTTAAATTCTAGATATGTTCACTACCAAATGGTCAGTTTTAGTCTCCCTTCTACATTTTACTTTTTCTTTACTATATAAACTTTTCAGTTGTAACTCCCTACATGTTTAAGCCCATTCTCACTCATGCATCCCATTTGTATGCTAGGAATACAGGCATACAAATTTAATACTCATGAAATATATTATGACATGGGCTGGGCCAGTACTAGAACTTTTATAACAAAAAAAATATGTTTACTATTCTGAACTAATGAGAATTGGCATCAATACATTGGTCTAGGTTCATCAGCTTCGGAATAGTAAAAGCACACCTGTACGTGCATCACCTTGTGAGAATGGGCTGTAGCTACATAAGCACTAGATTAAAAAAAATAAAGTCCACTGAAATTGTTAAAACAATAGCCACATATCAAGCAGTTATGTACTAAATGCACAGCCAATGAAACTTACCATACCGTATAAGCACTAATATTATCGTTGACCAAACCACACACTAGAAATTGATGAGACGACGATATTTCGTCGTCGTCACAATCGACTTGATGATGGTCCAGGACGGACCGAAACATCGTCGTCTCTTCAATTTCTAACGTGTGATTTGGTCAACATTTTTCAGCCACGTTATTGTGACTTCATCTGCACTAATATCATTTCAACAAACACATGCATCAATACATACAATCCAGTACTACACACTCCCAGTAAGCATGAACATAAAATAGCTTTCCTTGTGCATGTTAATTTAAGATTCATATAGGAAATTATATGTTCAACTGATTATTCACCATCCATAAGACATGCAAAATATTTTGCCTTCATTTTCTCCGTGCAAATTGTAAATATAATACAAATTCATCAGGTTTGACTGAACCTGACAATTGATTGAAAGCTGGTAATGGTGGAAGTAGTTGGAGGGGGGAAGGGAATTATCAGGGGAAAGTGCCAAGCCATTACAACTATATAGCACTGTGAAGGGGGGTCAGGATAAGGATTTGGGATGGACGGGGAGAAGGAATGGCGCCCAACCACTTGGATGGTTGGGGATTGAACGCTGACCTGCACGAAGTGAGACCGTCGCTCTACCGTCCACCCAAAGTGGTTGGGAAGGGGAAGGGGGGGGATGGTAAAATGACAGTTTAGGCCCAAAGCCAAGTCCTTAATGGGATGGCATTCAGTTCTTAAGGAAGTAACACAAATTTTGGACAAATGATGTCAAGTTGTAGTCAAAGTTTACTGGGAGTTTGTTCTCTGATAAGCACATTCCTTCATTTTAAATAAAAATTTCTTTCACCAAGAAAAAGTCAAGAAGTGAGACTGCTCTGAAGGAATAATCAAGATATTTCTCTCAGTTGAGGAACAATTTGTCTACGCTACAACATTTATGAAGAAAATCTTGTACAAATTTCTTATATAAAGCGATGAAGTAGTCTACATTTGTTAGTCATTTGATCATTACATGAATGAAGCAGACTATTTATCCATATACTTGTATTGTTCCCAAGCCACATTTAAGAAAATTAATGTACATGTACACATTTATGACACCCATTATAAAACAATATATCCCTTCTTCCACAAGACTAGAACACCTATAGCAATGCCCTACATTATGAGCCACAGTATTAAATAACGATAAAATCTACCCACAAGGACACCAGTATCACTTCACCGGAGTGTATTACAATGTACCATCAGATATAAAATGACTTTTATTCCATCCATTAGCTGGCCACTTGCACTCGATCATGCTCTTTCAATACATAAACAAATCCCTATGTCCTAATTTGCATGGGTCTTGCATAACGAGAGCCACACCACACCCTACAACATTTTCAGTAAAGATTTCCTCATTCTATTCATTCAAACTTTCAGACTTCTCAACATTTCCTATTTTGCTAATACACATTTTTAACAGCCCATACATTTTGTGGAATCAATGTTGTGGAGAAGCACAGTTATGACTATAGTATTGAAATGTTAACCAGAAGTCCCAGGGTTTGAAACTGCACTTAAGAGGCAGTGAGAGTAAACTAGCAAGAGACAGCACCTCAGATGCCAGTACAAAGCTACCAGCTTATTGTAAAGAACCTACCTGGATAACCATTATCCTGCTGGGGAGCAATATTGGCCCATCTTCACATGGTCTGTGATTATTGGATTCCAGTCCCCCAGTGGACGACTCTCCTAAAGGCCAAAGCTCGATGGCACGAGAAGGCGGTAAAGCCAAAATAGCTGCCACAAAAGTTCCCTATCAGTAAAAAAAAATCCATCTTTATACTCAAATTATTAACCTTAACTTCCACTACTTCAATTCCTTTTCTATTCCTTTAACCTCTTTCTCAAAACCTTCTCTACGTCATGAACAACAAACAAGAGACTTGCACCATTTAATCCACCTCGTGCACAGTTCAACCCAAGAGACTAATTCTCCTATGTACAATGTTTAGCTCTCACTTTTACCAACTTATTTTCCACCTGATTTTCCGTGCACCAATTAACATTTAATCCTTCATGTAAAAGTGTTTCATACGCTTAGTGTTGGTCCTAAGAATGTCAACACTAAAGCGAGTAAAAATACAGTAAATATTTCTTGGGAAACATTTCACAATACAGTATTAGATTGAGTACTTACAAAACAATTTTATATACTATATACCATTATAACAGCTTAAATACTGTACAGATTACAATATTGATATAGATTTCCTATGCACCAGACAAAATACTTGATATATACAATACTGTGTAGCCAATCCAAGTATATTACAGGCACAGTGATTTGCCAAATGGTCCCTAAAGTTAAATATTTATTAAACAATCTTCAGGCAGTCTCATCTTATTATACATATATATATATATATATATATACACTGTATTAACAATATCAGAGAACCAAATCCTTTAAAAATATGCCTTTTATAAATGACACACAAACGGTACTACTACTATACGAGATAGCTGCTCACCTCCGCCTATGTCTTGGGTTAAGGTGTCTGAGACGTTGACTTCTACGAAGACCTGGGCCAGAAGAGGAGGCTGCAGGAGATGCACCTCCTGATGCTGCCGAGTCTGAGGTTATTACATCCCACATGTCAAATGGCTCCATCTCTGTGTCACTGGAACTGTCACTGTCCGAGTCTCTTGCACGGTCCAGCTCTTCAATGAAGCCGCTGTTACATCGTGGACATACATAATCCTGGAGAATATTATTAAAATATAATTAAGGTTCCAAATAATAGTCATAATACTTTTAATTCAAGAAAAAAATTGAAACATTTACATTTAAATAAATCAGAAATAGGTGTCAAACTATACGCACAAGAAGAAATTTCATGAAATTAACAAAATACTGCACTAAACCCTACAAAATATAAATAAAAAGTGTTTGAGAGTGAACAGAAAAGTAAATGGCATTCTCTATTCCATTTTAGTAACTGTACATGACAGTGAGAAGAGAGGTAGAAAGAAACTTTGAGAAAGGGATAGGGGACAAATGTAAAACAGAACCAGGCTTTCTATAAATTATTCAAATGCATGTAATTACATTGCATATATAGGATAAAATCCAGAGGATTGAAAATGGGGAACAGATTCAGAGAAAGCAAATGAAATATATGAAACATTAACCCTTAAATGAACAATTTCAAAGTGTGAACCTGACAATACAGTTTTCAGATAACAAGTGTACATAGAAGTGTTTCAAGACAAATGAGAAAAATTCCTCGAGGAGCTAGGAAGAAACATAGCAGATGGCCCAAATCGAGTCTCGCCTTGGATTTTGAGGGAATGCACACTTGAACTCAGCATTCCACTTCAAAATCAATTTTTAAGGCATCCTTTACATACAGGAATCTTTGCACATATTTAGGGAAAGTCAAAACAATCCTAATCTACAACAGTGGTAACAGAGAAGGCCCTCTAAATTATAGATCTGTATCGACGAGAAGCAGGGTTGTCAAATCATTAGAATAGATAACTAAACCAAAGGGTAGAATACCTGGAAAAAATTACAAGACAGTATGGCTTTTGGACAGGGAGATTCTGCTTAACAAATCTACTTAGTTTAAGAGCACCACAGAGATCTTACAGGAAAAAATAGTTAAGCTGACTGCATTTATCTGGACCTATAAAATGGCTTTTGAGTGTCACATGGGAGGTTGCTCTGGAAGTTGGAACATGGACTTGTGAGGGGAATGCTATTTCCATGGATTAAAAATTTTGATAGAAAAATGCGGGCAGTAACCAGAGGCAATGTATCAGACTGGAGAAATGTTAATTGGGAAGTATCACAAGGTTCAGTTCTACCACCAGTAATGTTCATTGTCTATATAAAAAAAACACCGACGGCCCATTGGATTGGTGTAGAGTACGAGTCTGCAAGGTTCCTTGTTTGTACATTGATGCACAGATTGATTGTATGTACAGTAATTACTGTACCGTTTGATTTTATCGTCTTTTAAGGGTGGAATATTTTTTGGGCTAGGGTTTTGTCACCATACTATACTGTACATGAGGATATTGCATCATTTGTGGTTTTTTGCAGTTTTGTGTAAAGAAATTCCTCTTGTACAAACCTACTTCTTAAATCGGCTTACAATCCAGCACAGTACAGTATTTACTTTATGGCCATAGAAAATAATATGGTGTTTAACGAAGAAAAGTTCCAGCTCATGTGCTACAGAAAAAATGAAAATATAAAAATGGAAACCACATACAAAATGCAGTCAAATCATAACATAAAACAAAAAGGCAATGTAAAGGATTTGGGTGTACTCATGTCGGAAGACCTTACATTTAAAGAAGACAATAAAGTAACCGTCACAACTGCAAGATAAATGACAGGTTGGATAACAAGAACCTTTCACACTAGAGATGCTATACCGATGGTACTTTTCAAGGTGCTAGTGCTCTCTAGAGTAGAATACTGCTGCACAATGATGGTCCCTTTCAAAGCTGGAAAAATTGCTGACCAGGAGAGCATACAGAGATCCTTTACTGCTAGAATCCACTCAGTAAAACATCTAAACTATTGGAACCAACTAAAGAGCCTAAATCTGTATTCTCTTGAGCACAGGCGGGAGAGGTACATGATAATTTACACGTGGAAAATATTAGAGGGGCTGGTCCCAAACCTGCACACAGAAATAACATCACACGAGACCAGAAGACATCCCAGGATGTGCAGAGTACCCCTGTTGAAAAGCCGAGGTGCAACAGGTACTCCGAGAGAGAACTACAGTATCAACATCAGAGGTCCAAAACTGTTCAACACGCTTCCACTACACATAAGGGACATAACTTGCCGACCCCTCACAGTGTTCAAGAGAAAACTTCACAAACACATCCAAAGCATACCTCATCAACCAGGCTGTGACTCTTACATCAGACTGCGAGCAGCCACATCCAACAGCCTGGTTGACCAGTTGACCAGTCTAGCAACAAGGAAGAGGCCTGGTCGACGACTGGGCCGCGGGGTTGCTAAGCCCTGAAATAACCTCAAGGTAACCTCAAAGTATGGCATCTACACAAACACAGGACAAGGATGTGGACACAATATACAGGTACTGTATATATATGAATTATACTCAGAACCTAATATCAGAAAATTTCTCCCCACCCTGAACTTTCCCCAATGTTACCCATGTACAGTAATTTGTTATCACTTCTGGCTAAGATAAGGGAGCCATTTTATCAGTTTGACAAAAAATCTTATTATGGTTACTGTATTTACAATTCAAATATAGGTATTTTAATTTTACTTTCATGTTATAATTAACAATATTTAAAAAATGCAAGAATTTTTACCGTTTCATGACTTGTTCTCTAAAATGTGATGATGTTACTAATACTGAAGCTTAAGAATGCATATTAATAAATATAAAAATCAAACTGAACAGCAGCTACTATTGATACAAGTGGTTATAAAGAGGTATCATGGGTTGTATTTTCTTTTAATGTACTGCATTTATACCAGTTTGTAGCACAACATGGCTTAGAGCACTGCAGGATCATTGCAGCCTATCTAGGTGGTAGTGCAAATACAGTAGTGCATATCTAGAAAGCTATGCAAATATTGTTCCCGAGAGTATAAATATACAAGATCATGAATACAAGGTGGAGAGTGGCAATTGAGAAAAACATACAAATTTGGACAAAATTTTGAGCCAGGGACACTGAACCAGTAAAGACAAAATCCAAAAAGATGGTGGATGGAATATCATCAGTGAAGACAACAAAAAAACAAATTTCAAAGGCTTTATGCAGACAAAAATACAGGAAGGTGCTTTTCTTGGCAATGTAGTGATGATTGAAGATTTGCTAGAGACTAATTTTTTTTTTTTTTTTAATTTAGAAAAGAACATGAAGGTATCAAGAGCCAGGTTAATACTTTATCAGGCAGTATTTTGCAGCAGGATAAAGAAATTGCTAGCTTGACTGACGAGGTGAGTAAACAGGAAGGACAAATCAAGGAACTAGAGAAACAATATGAGACATGGAAAATGAAGGAGGATGAATTTGACAGGGTTATTGTCACATTAACAAAGACAAAACTCAAGGATATTATCTTAAACAAGGTTGAATTCCCGAGGGAATACTCAATTTGGAGACCTGACAAAGATTAGAAAAAGTGGAGGAGCTGTCGTTCTAGTGAAAGAACACCTGAAGGTAAGAGAACTAATAACAGACAACCCACGAGAAGTTAACAATGTATCTGGAGAGTTGTAATCAGGATGATAAACTGATACTTATAAATATTATACCTAGAGTCCACCTGCAAGCAACACATAGGTCAAGGAGGAGCTGGACAACAAACAGGGCCTCATAATCATGAGATAAATTATAGTAAGAGCAAATAAAGATAAATCACGATTGTTGATACTTGGCGACTTCAAATTTTAATTAATAGGGTGGGAGGAATATGAAGCAATAACAGAGGATATTTAGACTACCAAATTCGTAAACCTCATCCTGAAGACTCTCACATTTCATGTTCAACAGGCCACGAGAATGAGGGAAGAGGGATGTTCCATCGATGCTGGATTTGATATTCACCAGGAAAGATTAGGAGATTTCACTGCCCGAAACGCTGCACGTACTAGTGGCTTTACAAGATTGTAATTACTATCCTATGTATCCTCACATTCCCAATGTACCTTCTTGTATATATATAAATAAATAAATAAATAAATAAAAATAAATATCTGACATTCAGTACCTTCCTCCCTTGGTCTCTCTTACCCATGTTCTTTCCAAAAGGACATGGGTTAGAGAGAGGATGTCCTTTTGAAAATAAGATATGCAACGTGTTATAATCTAGAAGAAAATAAGGGAAAATGAAGCATTTGAAAAATTGAATTTCAGGAGATGACACTTAAGAACTTAGCAAGTTCTTTAATGAATTTGACTGGAAAAACATTGTTAGGGAAGAAAGTACAGGAGATGAATGCCAAGTTTTGGCATTAGCATATTTATCAGAATATGAAGAAGGCATAAGACAATTTATACCAAAACAGATGCAGAGCAAGAAAACAAGATAGGTTCAACAAACTGAGAGGGCCAAAGAAGAAGACAAAATAAGCAGAATCAATATAGGAAAAGGCCAAACCCTCAAACACGGCAGAGACTTAACCTAAATTGCTGCACAGCCATATCAGGAGAAAATAACAGTGAAGGAATAGGTAATGAAACAGGATAGGGTCAGACAGATTCACTACAAACGACAAGGAAGTGTGCAAGGAACTCGATAAGAAATTCCAGGCGGTCTTCACATTAGAGCAAGGAGACGTTCCAGAGATAAGAGAAGGAATAGTTAACCAGGCACCATTAGAGGAGTTTGGGATTACCAGTGGGGAATTAAGGAAGCTTTTGCTAGAGTTGGATGTGACAAAGGCTATAGGCCCGGATGGAATATCACCATGGATACTAAAGGAAGGAGCAGAAGTACTTTGCCTGCCACTCTCCATGGTGTATATGTCAAATCACTGGTAACAGGTGAACTGCCAAAAATTTGGAAGATGGCAAATGTAGTCCCAATATACAAGAAGGGAGATAGACAGGAAGCACTAAACTACAGGCCAGTGTCCCTAACTTGCATTAAATGCAAGTTGATGGAGAAGATTGTGAAAAAAAGCTAGTGGAACATCTGGAGCAAAAGAACTTTTCTAACATCAGCATGGGTTCAGGGATGGCAAGTCATGCCTCACAGGATTAATTGAATTCTACAACCAGGCAACAAAAATAAGGCAAGAAAGAGTGGGCTGGGCAGATTGCATATGAAATGTACCTCACCACACTAAGCACAACTAAATGAGTACAATCTGTACACACGTATATTTTCAAGATTATACATAATGAATACAACTATTAACATCAATACAATATGAGAGTATGAAAAAATTAAAGTGAGAAACGGTGAAAATAAATGGACAGTTATTCCCATGCGGCACCTCACCTCATTACTAATAAAAAATGCAAGTTCCCTCAGGCCACTCTAGGTAAACCACGATAGATAGACTTTTTCCTTGGAGTTGTTGTGCATAACACTGTGCATCATCATCTCAAGATAACCTCAAGATAACCATCAATACAACCTGTACAGTTCAAGGGTTAACTGTACAATTTGTATACATTATAAATTTAGAAGACAGCCAAAAACATAACCAGTCACAGGCAGTCTTAACCAATGGCTTTCAAGCATTCAGAGTTGTGGTAGCAACCAGTTAGGCTTGTCCAGTCACAAGTTACAGTCAGGCAAGCATTTACAGACAAGCATAACCAATCATAATGCAGTCAAGCATTCACTGTTGTGGTAGCAACCGGTTAGGCATTTACGATCAGTCAGGCATTCACAGTCACAACCAGTCGATAAACAATAAGAGTTTATGTCAGGTGCTCGGGCAGTCTGCCTCCCGATCCACCAGCTGGTAGCAAGGAAGCCCACCGTATTAACACAGTCCAGACATGGCTGGGAGGGGTACAGCTGGGGAGGGGACCCAGTGTGGGGGATGGAGGTAGCAGAGGGTCCGTTATGAGGGAAGGGGGGACGAGAGGGACTTGGGAAATGACCGGGGGTGACCAGCTCTTGTGTTAAGTCCTAATCAGAGGCTCGTCCACTGCAGCAATCTCACGCCACCGCCTACCTGCCCACTGCTAAACTCTGCCACCCATCCTGCTACTCACCTGTTCATGCATTGTCTCCTGACTGTCCTGCTACCCACCTGCTCTGTGCCCACCCTGCCACCCGCTCGTTCTGCTCCCTGCACGCCCACTCTGTCAGCCATTTCACTATTGCCCATTTACCCACCCATCCACTCACTTTGCCGCCCACCCTGCTACTCATTCACCCACTCACTCTGCCACGTGTCCACCCACTCACACTCTTACTTGTTCTTCCCTTGTATGATTCTAGTGCACATGTTTCTTAAAGGTTCTCTTCCCCCCCCCCCCCAAGCCTCTCACTCGCCTGCCATCCCTCTGCCCCCCCCCCACCATCCATTCATCCAGTCCCCCCCCCCCCATCACCATCCATCCAAATTAATACCCTCCCACATATGACTAAAATAGTGACATTTTAAACCCTCCTGATAATAGCAGGCCTCAGAATTAATGCCCCATACAGGTCCTTAATTAAATAGTGAATACTGAACAAGCACTCCATATTCTAGAGGCAACTTTGTACACCAAGTCAAATTTAACGATTAAATTGACTTCGTACACCAAATAATTCATACTCCAGGGCATTCATAGACCAAGGTTCCACTGTAATTATTTTTTTAAGCATGGAGTAACATTTTTGACAGCCACAATGAGGCTTTAACAAGACCGTAGTTCACAATCCACTCATTATATTCATTAACAGTTAAAATTATGCATAGGCTAGGAGTTGTGCACCTAAATAATAATAATAAATTGCAACAAGGCGACATATCGCCCAAACTACAGAATATGTATTACAAAGGATACAAATCAGTTTGTAACCAGACAGTTTGCCAGTGAATTTTAAAACCAACATAACTTTCCAACAACCTAACTCCTTCATCCTTTCCAACAACCTAACTACTGTATATATATATTAAATATATATATTATAAATAGTTTATATATAATATATATATATAAATATACACACGAATTAAGGTTTGGACAGGATAAAAAAAAAAAAGGCTATACAACTATATGTTTGACCTTACTGTGGCTCAGAACACAACCTCACGAGATTGTGACCTTAGGTTTCACTATGGCTGGAAAATACTACAAAAAAATTAAAAAAAAAACTCATAGTAATGACCCTCTTGAAATTTTAGCTCCATAAAATCACTAAATTAACGTCGCCCCTTTGGCCGTGCCAAACAATTTTACAGCCACACATTTTTGGGAGTGGGAGCGAGGCGGGGCCCACTCTGGCCCAGGTGAGCCAGGGATATACCCAGACAGACATAATTAATACAGAAACTCGAGAACTGCGGCGGCCGGAGAGGGATAATACTGGGATAACAGCTGAAGGATACAAGGTGACGAATAACTTTCCCGTATGGGTGTTCACCCCTTCTCGTCCCGTTACTCGCCACTCGTCACGGTCTCACACAACCTCTAGGGCTCTTACACACTTACAGGCAACTGTGGGGTGATCTCCACATTGCATTTGTGACAGAAAAATCTGGCAGAAGACGAAGCTGTTTCCACACCTGCTTCCGCCATTTTCCTTGACTCGGACAACACAGCGTTCGTTGTCGCCGTAACCTGCGCCTTTGACATCCCTCTCTCCATACATCTCACCAAATATAACCTCATTTACCCACACAAACGTGTATTGTCACCAAAAAAAATGTATTAAAATAAATTTCAAGAGATGAAAAAAATAGAAAAAAAATATTACCCCCAGAAATAAAAAAACACTTTATTTATTTATTAACACAAATTTGCAGCAATTTCCGGAAAATTGCACTAGGTCATTCATTGGTAAAAACAATGATTATTTTCTTTCTTAAGCCACAATAATGAATAATAGTGTCCAAATTTATATATTAGTTAATCCAAAGAAAATTCATAGATAAAATAATAAATTGGAATACCAGCAGTACAGTCATATATTGGTTTGGAAATTTAATCAGATTATAATTTAAACGTTGAAGTAATTAAACTTCTATTCACTAATTAACATTTTTATTAAATCTAGTAGACCTTGAGAACCTATTTAGAATCTACTTCTTTTTAACTAAATGCTAGAGTATTGTGAACTGCTAACCTATGTAAATGAAGGGTTATTATGTGTAAATCCCCATTTCGCAACTAGGATAGTTGGTCATACATGGGTTGGGAGTCTAATCTACTAGGAAGAAATAGTGTAATTAGTGACATCATGATGTACGGTACACTGCTTCCACCTAGAAAGCGATATTCCGGCTTCCTTCACAAGGTTATGACCGAGAACATAGATATTTCCTGCCTGCACGAAAACCCGAGCGCCAATTAACTGGTTAACTCCACAAATTACAGAATTTTAGATGTTACAAGCACATCTAAATCTTCAAAATCTGAATGATCTTCCAGAAGGTATAGACTCATTTCTCTCAATGTTTGCTGCTAAATTATGAGAAGAATTAAGACAGAGGAGGACAGCAAGAGGCTACAGGATGACCTGGATAGACTGAAGGAATGGCCCAACAAATGGGTACTAGAGTTTAACTCGAGCAAATGCAAATAGATGAAGACAGGCGAAAGGAGCAGCAGGTTAAACACAAGGTACCAGCTGGGAGAATAAATCCTTCAGGAGTTAGGACGAGAAAAAGATCTTGGGGTTGATATCACACCAGACCTGTCCCTGAAGCCCACATCAAAAAGATAACATCAGCGGCGTAAGCATGGCTGGCGAACATAAAACTGTCTTCAGAGACTTGTATAAGGAATCATTCAGAACCTTGTACTGTATACCTCATATGTCAGATCAATACTGGAATATGCGGCTCCAGCGTGGAGTTCACATCTAGTCAAACAAAACGAAATTAGAAAAGGTTCAGACGTACTCAAGTTGTGCTTGCGGGGGTTGAGCTTTGGCTCTTTGGTCCCGCCTCTCATCTGTCAATCAACTGGTGTACAGATTCCTGAGCCTACGGAGCTCTATCAAATTTGCATTTGAAACTGTGTATGGAGTCAGCCTCCTCTACATCACTGATTAATGTATTCCATTTTTTAACTACTCTGACACCGAAAAAATTCTTTCTGATATGTCTGTGGCTCATTTGGGTACTAAGTTTTCACCTGTGTCCCCTTGTTCGTGTTCCACCCCTGCTAAATAGTTCGTCTTTGTCCACCTAGTGAATTCCCCTGAGAATTTTGTAGGTGGTTATCACGTCTCCCCTTACTCTTCTGTCTTCCAAGGACGTGAGGTTTAGCTCCTTACCCTTTCCTCGTAGCTCATACCTCTCAGTTCTGGGACTAATCTAGTGGCATACCTCTGAATCTTCTCTAACTTTGGCTTGTCTTTAACTAGATATGGACTCCAGGCTCGAGCTGCATACTCCAGGATTGGTCTGACACAAGTGGTATTCAAAGACCTGAACGATTCCTTACACAAGTTTCTAAAGGGAGTTCTTATGTTGGCCAACCTAGCATATGCCGCTGATGATATCCTTTTGATGTGGGCTTTTGGAGACAGGTTCGGTGTAATATCAACCCCCAAATCTTTCTCTCTATTTGACTCTTGCGGGAGTTCACCTCCCAGATGGTACCTTGTGTTCAGTCTTCTACTCCCTTCGCCTAATTTCATTACTTTACACTTTCCTGAGTTGAACTTTAGTAGCCATTTTCTAGACCATTCCTCCAGTTTGTCCAGGTCGTCCTGTAATCTGTCTTGATTCTTCTCATAATTTTTGCATCATGAGCAAACATTGAGAGTAATGAGTCTATACCCTCTGGAAGATAGTTTACATATATTAGAAACAGGAAGGTCCAAGTACAGAGCCCTGTGGGACTCCGCTGGTGACAGTTCGTCACTCGGATGTCTCCCCTCCCCCCCCCATCTCAGTTACTCACTGTTTCCTGTTGCTTAGATACTCTTGCCACCAGGCTAGTCCCCGAGCTGAGAGGAATGATCTAAGAGGAAAGATTACTGGAACAGAACCTCACGATACTGGAAGACAGAAGAGTTAGGGGAAACAGGATCACTACCTACAAAATTCCGAAGAATTGACAGGGTAGATAAAGATAAACTGTTTAACACATGTGGTACGCGAACAACGGGACAAAGGTGGAAAGTGAGTACCCAAGTGAGCCACACGGACGTTACAAAAGGGTTGGTACCAAAATGGACCCCCTGTGGTACCCCACTCAGCTTATTTATCCAGTCAGATTCCTCCCCATTTAGTACGACCCTTTGTTATCTTTGTTTTAGCCATTGTTTTATTCAATCTAGTATTCTACCATATATTACATCCGTCTGTAATTCTCTTGTTAGCCTTTTATGTTAGTTTAGTTCATTTATTATGCACCCCATACCCATCTTGTGGGCGGTAGTGGAAAGGGTTACAGCCTTATCAAAGGCCCGAGCAAAATCTATGCATAGTACATTTACGGGAATTCCCTTGTTTAAATAGTTGGTTACCGTTCCCCCCCAAAATGTGAGCAGGTTTGTAAGACAGAATCTGTTTTTAACAAACCCGTGTCGCATGCTTTTAAAAGATTATTCACCATCTACACATTCAGCAAGCTCCGTGAGCTTGCAGATATGTAATATCTGCAGTAAATTTGCTTTAGGCATTGTATGTACTAGCTCTATCTATAAATCTATCAATTTTTGTGTTACCTCTTGTATGTATGTACTTTACCTGAATAAACATTTTTATTTTTTTTTAATGTCATGCTGATTGGACGGTAATTTTCTGCTGAGCTCTTTCTGCCTTTTTTAGAAAATAGGGGTGACATTTGCACATTTCAGATCTAGGGGAAACTATTCCTTGCTCCAGAGATTTTCTGAAAAGGAGTTAGTTGTATGCATAGTTCATCTGCCAGTTCCTTTACAGTCGTGATAATAGCTTGGCGCTTTCCCCTGATAATTCCTTCCCCTCCTTTACTATATTGAATTTAATTCAGTTCACATCTGAGGCTTTTAAGTCTTTTAGTTTGTTTATGCTCTTCCAAATAATGTCGCATGTTATGGGTATATCCCTAATTCATTCCTCTCACCTTCTTCAAACACTTGTCAGAGTATTGGGATGTCGCCTAATCTTTCGAATGTGATCACCAATATGAAGTAATATAGTATTAAGTTTGTCTTAGTGTTTTTCCTGCCCGAAACGCTTTGCGTAATAGTGGCTTTAGGCATTGTATGTACTAGCTCTATCTATAAATCCATCTTTTGCATTTCACCTTGTATGTATGTACTTTACCTGAATAAATATTTCTATTTGTATTGTATTTGAAGTATTCATTCAGAGTTTGTTGCCATTTTATCGTTCATTATAACTTGGTTAGTCTCATCTTTGAAGGGTCCTTCCGAGTACTTTCTTTTGATTTTATTTCTTACATAGGCAAAGAATGACAGGATCTTTCTTTATGTTTTGGGCAAGTTTGCTTTCATAGTTTCTTTTTGTTGATCTGATTTCCTGGGTGGCTGAATTTAGTGCCCTTTAAAGTTTATCATAAACAAGGATGTTCATCGTAGATTTATACCTTCTCCAAAAGTTCTCCCTGTTAGTCTAAGCTGTTTTATTTATTTAGCAGAATGATATATAGTATATATTTACTTTTATTTTTTATTGATAATAGTATTAGCTATTTAAGCAGCAGTTTATAGCAGTTTAAGTTAAAAACGAAGCTATACCTAATAAATTCCCTGTAACCTACCTTACCCTTCTATTGTCAACCAATGTCTGTTTTTTTAAAGAGCGCTGTTTGTCGACATAATTGTATTTGTGCTGCTTTTTCATCTATGTTTTCATTTCTTGTTTTCATTCTACTCATTATGCTCAATTAGTATTAAGCTTGTCATTTAAGTTTATCATGCCTGAAACGCTTTGCGTAATAGTGGCTTTAGGCATTGTATGTACTAGCTTTACCTATAAGTCAACCAATCTTTGTAAAAATTTATTGTATGTATGTACCTTACCTAAATAAACATTTTATTTTATTTTATTTTTTTATTTTTATTTTATTTTATTTCCTGTCGTTGTTGTTGGTTTAGGTGTTGTATGTGCCCTGGCGTACCCATGAAGGGTAACTTGCAAAGCCGAATGGCGAAATGAACGTTATTTGTCGGCGAAAATAAATGCGCCTTGCTGTGAATAAACACATACCGTACAGAACTGACAGGAAAGGCAAAAGGAACGAAACCTCACGTCCCTGGAAGACAGAAGTTAGGAGAGACATGATCACCACCTACACACATTTCAGAGGAATTGACAGGGTGGGCAAACTATTTAGCATGGGTGGAACACGAACAAGAGGACACGGGTGGAAACTGAATACCCAAATGAGCCACAGAGACATTAGAAATAATTTATTCTTTCATGGTTGTTAAACGGAATGAATTAGGCAGTGATGGGGTGGAGGTTGACTCCATACACAGTTTTAAATGTAGACATGAGAGCCTAACAGGCTTAGGAATCTGTGCACCAGTCTATTGACAGTCCAGAGGCGGGACCAGAGAACCGAAACTCAACCCCCGCAAGCACAACCAGGTAAGTGCATACTGATGGGCAGCTGACTGTTGAGCCCCAGGAGTCCCTCAGGGAGGCAACACCGGCCCCATCCCACACAGAGAACAATGAGTAGCAAAGCAAAAACTTCCAAAACCCAAAACGCATCCAGTGGTCCCCGGCAGAACAGAAGCCAGCCGTTCACCAGGTCTGAGGGCACACCTAGACCAGACAAGCCAGCGCCGGACACGCCTCCTCGCTCGATGAACCGGCCAGAAAACGTTTAAGCAAGTCCCAGTTGTGTCTGGGTACAAGTGATGGGATGAACAACCCAGCGGGGTTTCTTCCTACTGGGGAGTGTTGAACATGCTACTATGGCGGTGTATCCACTCACAGGATGAGTGGCGCTGCCCAATAAACACGCCCCTCTGGGCAAAATAAAAAAAATAATCTATCAACTTTCCTGTGACCCCGGGCAATAATGTACGCCAGGCGGCATAACAATCCGGACCGTTGAATAGGCATGCCAGACGGTAGTATCAAAACCCTATGGTTTAAAATCGCTAAACAAAATGTGATCCGGCGGCCCCCAGGCGGAGCAGGTGTCCAGACATTCACTGGTCGTCAAGGTTGAGCCACCAGTCTCCGATAATAGTAGTGCTCAATCCAATGTTTACTACGATCAGCTGGCGTCTCCCCCGCTGGGGGAGAAGTGTGGGGTACTCACCCAAAATATTTTACCTATTTTTATTATGTGTTGTTCGTTGCATTACTAGTATGTTATACCAATAATGTAACATTTGAATTTAAAATACAAAACTCTTGTTCACTTAGCTGTATCTTCGAGTTAGTCAATACAGCCGTATTCACCATATATATACATCCGTATATATGGTGGTGTGTATTCATTTATTTATTTATTTATTTATGCATATACAAGAATGTACATAAGGAATGTGAGGATACAAATATGGTAATTACAGTCTTGTAAAGCCACTAGCACGCGCAGCGTTTCGGGCAGGTCCTTAATCTAAGAAAATTTTAAAGAGGTAAATACTTGCAAAATTTATAGACAAAAAAATGATAACAGATTACATGAAATGAAAAAAAAAGATGAGAGAAAATTGTAGGTACAGTATATTAAAGCACATAGGTAGCTAAGATTGATTGCAATGACAGCTTGAATGGTAGTTGACAAAAATTGGTAGTCACAATACAGCAGAAACAATATAAGATTGATTGCAATGGCAGCTTGAATGGTAGTTGACAAAAATTGGTAGTCACAATACAGCATATGGCTAGCACATAAAAGAAGACAGCAATGAACACAATGATAAGGTTGTTTGATATTACATAAAAATTAGGAGATTGGGTAACACTAGGTACAGAGCAAATTTAAAGCTCAGTGTAGGAAACTAAGAAGATGAAGTTAGGTACTTTTTGGTTTTGCTTTTAAATAAGGCAAAAGTTTTACAGTTTTTCAATTCACTAGGGAGTGAGTTCCATAGACTAGGTCCCTTAATTTGCATAGAGTGTTTACACAGATTAAGTTTGACCCTGGGGATATCAAAGAGATATTTATTTCTGGTGTGGTGATAATGGGTCCTATTACATCTGTCCAGGGAGAGTTTCAGAGCATGGTTTGCATTTAAGAACAGGGTTTTGTAAATGTAGTTGACACAAGAGAATGTGTGGAGGGAGTTAATATTTAGCAAGTTTAGGGATTTAAACAAGGGAGCTGAGTGTTGTCTGAAAGCAGAGTTAGTTATTATTCTGATAGCAGATTTTTGCTGTGTGATGATGGGCTTAAGGTGGTTTGCAGTGGTAGACCCCCATGCACAGATACCATAATTAAGATAGGGGTAGATTAGTGCATAATATAGTGAGAGGAGAGCAGAGTTAGGAACATAATATCTGATTTTGGAGAGTATACCAACTGTCCTAGAGACTTTCTTAGTTATGTGTTGAATGTGGGTGCTGAAGTTGAGTCTCTTGTCTAGGAATAGGCCAAGAAACTTGCCATCATTTTTATTACTGATGTTAATGTTGTCTATCTGTAGCTGAATTCTCCTTGGGCTTATTATAATTATTAATATATTTGTATTTATATATAGAGAAGTTAATACATTCTTGTAAAATTCAATACATCATTCAATGTATGTATGATATATACCAGACAATTTCTTCAATAGGTTCCCCCCCTCCATTTTAAAATAAAACTAGTTTAAGTATACACAGCAATGTGCTGCTACCCTATTCTATATGAAAGATTACAGTGTAGATCAAGAACTAGCTATAATCTAATATCCCCATCTCACAGGATGGTTAATCATACATGGAATCAGGAGTGAATATGAAATGCGAGACCGATCTATTATCGTACATTTGCAAATTCTAGTTACAACATAAGAATATTTTCCAGTCTTAGTGAGGGAAGGAGGGAATTATCAGGGGTAAGCGCCAAGCCATTACGACTATATAGCCCTTGGAAGGGGTCAGGATAAGGATTTGGGATGGAACGGGGGAAGGAAGGAATGGTGCCCATCCACTTGGACGGTCGGGGATTAAACTCCGACCTGCAAAAAGCGAGATTGCTGCTCTACCGCCCAAGTGGTTAAAAACCTTCAATATTCTTGAGTGTATGTAGTGGTTACAGTGCTCGAGTATAGTCATAGCTCCTTATACTCGAGCTACGACATTCGAGCTTAAAGGCGTTCTGGCCTTTAAGTGTCAATGACTGCTGTCATCCCTAATTTCCTGAAATATTGCAGCTTTTACAGCAGAGATTGGAATGGCCTTATCCAACTCAATTTCACTTTATCACACACAGTTTTAGCTGCCTTGTCTGTGTCATCATGCTGGACAACACCTATGTGAGATGGTGATATCCATACAAATGGGACTGAAACTCCTGCTCTGTGCATTACTAATTGTAGGTTCTCCACTGGGTCTCGGTGAGATCAGCCCATGGCATGCTGGTTAGCATTGTATAAATGAATTGTCACGACTGTATTAGAAAAAAATACACAAAAACTCAAAAGCAATTTCGGCCGGGTTCGAGCCCTGGGCATGGAGAACTGTCTGTGAACCGATCCTTAACTATTCGACTCTGTTCACCCAGCAGTAATTGGTGAACTGAATTTACCTGAATTTACCTGAGGGGCCACTAATACTCTAGTAGCCTCGACGAGGACAGGAAACCGGCTAATCAAAGGTTTCCCCATTTGCTGTGTGATTTTTTCGAGCTGGATTTTAAAGCTTAACAGAGTTTGGGCATTTACGGCTGCGGCGGGTAGGCGGTTTCATGGTTAGTTAAAACCAATTCTGAAGTTCGTGTGCCATACAAAAGGTTTAATAATAATAATTCACTGTGTCTGGGAACAGGCAGTCAGTATATATATGCAGTACATGTTAGGTACATATGAGGTAACCCGCAGGGGTTGAATTACTGACCTCCCACCCCCCCTAGGATGCAACCACACAACAAGCTGACTAACTCCTGGGTACCGCTAGGTGAACAGATGCATTAGGTGGTTTTAAATACACTCAACCATGTCTGTACCGTCCGGGATTCGAACCCTGTATTCAAGAACGAACCCGACTGCTCTAAACTTGCTAATAAGAGTCAGAAGCCGTCTTGGCCTGCACCCTCCTGTGTATATAATACCAAAGGGATAATTAAGTGAGGTTCCAATGATTATATTCATCTGATTTAAGATAAGAGATGAATATTCTATAATTGTCTACCATTGATGAAACGTATTTATTCGTTTTCTTTTATCAAATAACCGTTGAAGATTTAACTGTTTAACTTGCCGTGAAACAAGTATCATATGTCCGGGGGTCTTGCTTAACGTAACAATTACAGCATGAGGAAAATAGTAAGATATATGAGAGGTGAGGAAGGAGAGTGAGTAAGACGTATGAGGGGAATATGAGGGCGGTACAGCGCCATCTGAAGGTGGAGGCAGGAATGGCGGCCTGACGCAGGCGTATCAGCACCTTCCTCACAGTTTCCGGCGACGTCTTGGCGTTAGCAGCCAGTGCTCGGTACCCTGTCTCGTCCGGTGGCCACCTGTCTCTTGTTTACTCACAGTTGCCGTTCCCAGTCACTCCTGCCTGCTAGTTTGGACCCCGGGAGACGGGGGCGAAAAATAATTTGTTTTTTTTACCTTTTCACCCCCGTGGTCGAGATGTGTGTGTGCTTATCTGAGGCGTGATAGGGGGATTATTCCCCAGGTGAGCTAGGGCTGTGTTCACCTGGTGTGCCAGGACCCAGGGGTGTGCTCACCTAGTGTGCCAGGACCCGGGGGTGTGCTCACCTAGTGTGCCAGGACCCGGGGGTGTGTTCAACTAGTGGGCCAGGACCCAGGGGTGTGCTCACCTGACGTGTACTCACCTGAGGTGTGCCGGGACCCCAGGGGGTGTGCTCACCTAGTGTGCCGGGACCCCAGGGGTGTGCTCACCTGAGGTGTGCCGGGACCCAAGGGGTGTGCTCACCTGAGGTGTGCCGGGACCCAAGGGGTGTGCTCCCCTGAGGTGTGCCGGGACCCAGGGGTGTGCTTCCCTGAGATGTGCCGGGACTCAGAGGTGTGATAATTTGAGATGTGCCAGGACTCTGACGTGCTTGCCACGGGTGTGTCGGGATTCGGATGTGCTGGTCTCGCGTGCCCCACGATCCGGGTGTGCTCGTCACTCACCTGAGGCGTGGTCGCCGTGGGTGCGGCGGATGCCAGTTTAGGCAACAAGGTGCTGAACTCTAGGGCTGTCGACCGTGTGCGTGTGAACATGCCCAAGGGGAGCTCGTGCAAGGCTCGGGGCTGTACCTCCAACAAAACTGACAACCCTGACCTGAGCTTCCACTCCTTCCCCAAGAACAAGGAAAGGTATTAACGTACTGCCTCTTAGAACATTAATTTCTTGCACCTCAGACTTGGCCCACTGCTTGTCTTATTTATAAAATCACATTTTTCCCATATATATATCTATCTATCTCTGTCTCTCTGTGTCTGTCTGTCTGTTGCATTGTATGTGAATAATGAGCTATATCAGTGGCTCCAGGGTGGTGAGATGCTATTCGAAATTTAATCAGCTAAGATGGTACAAAAATACTAATTTTCATCACTATAACCTTAATTGGCTTATAGCTAATTATTCACATCTGACAATGTAAACATAATCCAAATGGTATTTGACCCACATTCTTTGAGATCCACCGAGAGTTAAGCTTAAGATCTGATGTCAGTGTGCAAGGTAGAACAGTATGTTTAGAATGTGTTGGGGGACCAGGTTTGTGATTTGTAGATACTATACTGTGCAATACATTACTGATAGGAGGGAGGGAGCCGAGCGGACAGCACGCTGGACTTGTGATCCTGTGGTCCCGGGTTCGATCCTGGGCGCTGGCGAGACACAATGGGCAGAGTTTCTTTCACCCTATGCCCCTGTTACCTAGCAGTAAACTAGGTACCTGGGTGTTAGTCGGCTGTCACGGGCTGCTTCCTGGGTGTCGAGGCCTGGCCGAGGACCGGGCCGCGGGGACACTAAAGCCCTGAAATCATCTCAAGATAACTTCAAGATAACTGCATTGTACAGTACTTGGTTTTGGCTTCTGGAATTGGCCATGGACCAATTTTGTGGTTCTTGTATCTAGACTATTTCCCCATACACAATTGCACATTTCTAGGTGTCTACTAATGCCCTTCTACAGTTCAAGGTCATATGGGTGCCAGTAACCATACAAGTCATAAATACTCACACTCTGCCCAAGTAAAACGGAAACAAGCAACACTTAGTGGGCCAGCCAGACGCTTAGGGCCCATGCAGGAATTTCCCTGCCAAAAAAAAAGTTAACAGAAAAAAACTAATAAGATATGACCCATTAAAATTTATGATAAAAATTACTTGCTTAAATTACAATTTTTATAAGAATTATGCATATTGCCTGATCATGGGAAAACTGAACTTTGTAATACTGTACTGTATATTTCTTAATATTTTCATATTAGATAACATTTATGGGTTTCATTAAGTAATTAAAATAGACTGTATTGAAAGAGTTCCTGGTACTGTATTCATGTGGTACTGTTCTATTCACCGGTGCAGGTGGTACAAGTTATTTTAACACTGATGTCCAGTTATTGGTGATCGTCCAGGTATGGAAGATTTTACCTAATTGTCTTTATTGATCAAAACATGGTAGAAATGCTGTACAGTACTGTAACAATAACTGTTTGATAGGCATAACTTCACACGCTGTTCTAAAACTAATGAGAACTGTCATATTTGTTTTCCAATAAATCATGTGCAGTGTGCATTAAAATTAGTTGAACATGCACAATACAGTACATGGAAAGTGATGTGTAAATGTGGTTTAAGTACAATAACTTAACTTCTGGTTATAGCTTTTTTCTCCCTAGTTTCTGCATCATAATAATATACACTGTACACAGTATTCATACTTTTTATAGAACACTTTAGATGCATAAATTATTGTCTGGAGAGTATGATTTATTTTTTTAGCAGATTAAGTGATATTAATTAAACTGGACCTGGTTCAGCCAAATACTGTTGAGTGTTCATTTTTTATACAACTTATTTTTATCATTTCAGATTTAAGATATGGTGCGACTTGATTAAAAGGCCCGACCTGAATCACAGTAAAGTGATCACAAACAGGATGTCAATGCGAGTCTGTTCACTACACTTTGAGGATCGCATGTACATGAGCCCCAACAACAAATCGAGACTTATATGGTGTGCTGTGCCCAAGCCTGTTGCAGGTAGGGTATACTTGTAAATGGTTACATCACAAGCCATTAAACTCAGGGATTTTATGAAAAAATACATTGATAATACTGTATATAAATTCACTTTTTCTGGGCTGGCACCCCTTGGTAGCTCTCCTTAGCAGCTCTCTGTAGCTTATGTCACCAGCGCTAAAAGGATGCTGCAAATACCCCAGGCTTTTGGTAACAATTTTGGCACTCTAGAAACAACAGTATAGTACCTTCTCCAGCCATCTTATCCCCCTCCATGCGACTTAAGATGTATACCAATTACTGTGATGGATTGCCCAACGTAAATTTCAAAGTACTGTCTTCCTCCGAGTAAAATTTGGGAACCCAAAATTGCCAAGTAAATCTTAGAAATGTGCTAATCTCCCACTAATTTGACTAATGAAATCAAATGTAGATGCACATATTGGAGACCTCTACACTTGTTACATAAAAGTTGGCTTGCCATCATTCTGGCTTAGTGCCCCTGTATAAGAGGTTTCATGCTTAGAATATATCATAATCTATGCTAGCTTATTTGCAGATCCCTTGCTGTGGTTGTACTTCAGAACTAGTTCAGGGTTGCATTCCCTGGAACCATCAACGAAGACTGGTCACCACCTAAGACATCTTACATGTTTTCTTCCTTGGGAAGCTTCCTCTTGAGCTGCAAGTAGTGCTACATAGTCGCCTCGGTTTGGTGCCTTCTTTTGATAGTTACTTTTGAATTGCAACTGGTGCCATGTTAGGCTTAGAAACTTGGTCATTAAAGCAAGGCTTTGCAGGCGATGAGTCACAATAACGTGGCTAAATTTTGTTGACCAGACCACACACTAGAATGTGAAGGGACGACGACGTTTCGGTCTGTCCTGGACTATTCTCAAGTCGATCACAATCTGGTCTGGTCAACAAAGCAAGGCTTTGGTGTTGTATTTAGTGTGTGCAGGGGAGTACTGTACAGTACTGTGTTTTGTTGTGCAATTTTCTCTGGATATATGGGAAGTGGAGATTAGTGCCTATTGCCAGGTGCCTCACTATAGAGGATAAAGGGTCTGTTTCGTGTTTCAATTGTGCCTTGCCGTGCTCCTTTATTGTGTTGAGGCTCTGCACTTATTGCTTGGGTTATATAAGTGATTTTTTTTGTTCCAAGAAGTGTAGTCACTTTGCAGATGATGAGTCACAATAACGTGGCTGAATATGTGAAGACCAAACCACACAACAGAAGATGGAGAAACAATGACGTTTCAGTCTGCCTGGACCATTGTAAGCCGTATGTTATAAGACTATTATCATACTACCTGATAATGGTCCAGCAGACTGAAACGTCATTGTTTCTCCATCTTCTGTTGTGTGGTTTGGTTGTCATTTAGACACTTTATTTGTTCAAATATATTTATTAGCCAATCTGTCTTTTATTTCAAAGAATAACATATAGATAAAATTGAATGACAACTATTTTTGGCCCTTGTGTAAAATAATTAGACAATAAGTTGAGTGTACTGTACCACCACTCACTGGAGTCAAAACGGAAGTAAGCTGTGCTCAAGAAGATAATTGGCTTAGAGTTGAAAATGCTTAGAAGTTAGAGACCATGCTTGCACTCAACAAATAAAGGACTACAATATTTAAGTAATATATTTGATAAAAACAGCATTTCTGTAGATAGCTTTGTGGATACTAAGTGGCAGAGTGCTAAGTGTCTCCATCCATGTGCTTCATAATGCATTCACCCCTACAGATGACCAGAGTCCTCCATCAGTGTCAACATCTTCAAATGAATGTGTGGACAGCAAGGCAGATCTAGCTAGTAAAGCAGACCCTCATGAGAAGCAGAAAGATATATCAGGTAAAAGATATATCACACTTTCAATCACTATTCTGAAATAAATATAACATTTGTCCAATATTGATGTAAATTGTCAACAGTCATAATGCAGATTGAGATTCCTATGTGAAGGGCATAAGGAAACACAAATTTAAGTTGTTCTTTTTTTCCTATGTTAACAGCTTCACACGCAACAGATTCAACACTACTGTCACAGCCTCTTCCTCTTGCTAAAGGCAGTAAGAAGTTTGACTGGTCTTTGGCTCTTGATGAAGACGTGATCATTAAAGAAGGTATTGGATGTACTGTACTATACAGTACTTCATAATAAATGCAAATGATTTTTTGTTACACAGTTTCATAAAATAAGTCTATAACACTGAAAATCTGGTGTATTCAGGCTGTGTTCTTTGTATGAGAAGAATCCAGAGTAACTGTTGAATATTATGTGGTTGAATTTTTTTTGTGTGTACAGTATATTGTCATATACTGTACTTTATTGTACATATGTTTATCGTTACAATTATTGTTGTTATTTTAAGAGAGTATGATGGATCAAGATAATAATTTGGAGCTCTCCCCTCCACCCTCACCTGAAGCAGACTCCCCATCAAGTTTTTGTACTGATACCAAAGAAGGCATAATTAAGCACGACCACACAGGTATAGAATTCGATGAACGTTCTTATTTACAAACTCCACTCCAAGCTGTACAAAAAAAGATAGTTGTATAGTATTTTCTCTGGGAGGGATCTCTCAGTAGCTTCTTGAGCTTAACTAAAGTGCAATGTCACTTAGCTTAAAACTAACACACCAGGCCTCTGAGACCCATCTGTCATCTGCTAGAAGCCAGAACAAGAATTTGGCTTATCTAGGTGAAGGAGAGCATGATTTATACTACTGTATTATAAAGAATAACAAACGAATGTTTAAATAATTCATTACAGTAAAAATTAAAGAAATATCTAATATTACTATAACAAATACAAAGTTCTTAAAAACTGTGTGTACCGGCTGAAGAGTGCAGTTCCTTGCTAAAATTTGAATTTACTTTTCATCTAGCGGCCTGCATAACGTGCCCCAACTGGACCCGTCTTGGCCCAGTCAACCTAAACAAGCCGTGTGCTCTCTCCTCTCGCATTATATGACAGTGCCGCATCATTGGTGAAAAATATTCTTGAATAACGTTTTGTTTACATCGTAAGTTTGATAATTTGTTGCCAAGATTGTCTGGTGGCAGCAGCAATCACTCTGGAGGTGTTAAGAGGTCAGTTGTTGTGCTGACCATTAAAGATAAGTTACGTGGCATTCTTTAGGCTCGTGCTTCCAACTGTAGAGTTTGGGAGCATTCTGCTCTTCACCCATAAGCATAATTTTTGTTTCTTTGGACCAGGGCTGGTTTTTTCACCTGCCTTCTTTGTTGTTCCTGACTTTAGAATGAAATTTTAACCATTATAATTAAAACTCAGTTTGTCCATCTGTGGGGTACATCATACAGTGTGGCATTCTTTGTGTGCTACTCACTCTTTTGGAGTCTAGGCCTTGTTTATCAGATATGTATCTAATGCTCCTTGCTGCAAGGCACCACCTCTCCCAGGTCATCTCTAAGGTGGCTCAGTTCAACCAGAAGGCTGTGTATTCTAGCTCTTGATGGTCATAAGTTTCCTGCTTTGATGATTTTCTTTGCCATTACAGTGTGTCCATAACTAATATCTAGGCTTGTGCTTCTGGCAGTCCAACAGGGTGTCGGCCTATTGTTACTTATTGGATGTCCCTTGGCCTTACCATGCTTATGTTTCATTTTGGCATTTAATATGCTGCTGACATTTTTTTTACTTTGGGACCATCTCCTTCCAGTCATTCTACGTCCACAGTTAAGCCTAGTTCTCCTTTCAATTTAATAATCTCTTTACTGTCCAGAAAAGCCAGCCTTCTTTACTGAGGCATTGTTGTGAGTAAGGTTGTTGAGCTACTGGGGAATCCCGTCCAGAAATCAAGTATTAAATGTAATGAACTGCCCTTCTCTGGTGGATTCCAAGTGGCTCTCAAATCACTTTCCTGTGAGGTTGGTGGACTTGGCATGGGCAGCTCTGGAATGGGTGCCCATACCAAGGGCACAGGCAAAGGGTGGCTGGCTGAGTCCGTGGATGATTTATGCTGCCATCTATTGGTGATCGAGCACATCAAGGCTTGGATGTTTACCCCGTGGCAAGGATCTTGTCCTTGTTTTCTTTGAGGCGTCTCATTTCCTTTCATGTTGCTTGTTTTGTTAGATGTGCTTTCTGGTGGATTTTTCCAGTCTTTGTGGTTGATCTCTGATACCTACTCTTCCCCTCACCACGTAGAGTAAGCCAAATTCTGATCTTGGTTCCACTAGTTGATTGATGGGTCACGTAGGTCTGGTACATTGAGGTGAAACTTCGGAAGGTATGAGAGTTAAGCTCAGGAAACTACTGAGGGTTTACCCCTCCCCCCCCCCCCCCAAAAAAAAAAAGCATTTCATTACATTCAGTAGTGATTTTATTTATTATATATATATATTGTTGCAAGAATATATATACAATACCTCATTCTGCTTTATATTTAAATTGTGGAATTTGTTTCATCTTTATGAGTGTGTAGACTAAATTTACATGGCCTGAAAAGTCATATTTAAAGGCAAGATCTATTACTTGAGTTTTTATTATGTATGTGTAAATTAACCTCTGAGTTGCAGTTGTGATCATTGGCCCCTATCTTCCAGTGTGAAATTTTGTTTTTCTATAAATGTTCTTGTAAAATAATACTAATGGAGACAAAAAGTAACGAGAGTTAAAGTTTTGTTGGGTTTCGTGCACACCGGAAGATTGCAGGCAGGGTCAAGAGAGTATCAGTATGTGTATGGGATGTGATGGTGTAAACAGTTTATATGCTTGCTGTTTCACTTTAGTTTACATAAAGTGTGGAATAACTTGATTTATTTACTTATATTGTAATGAACAAAAAACAGTGGTTGAGTAATGTGTAATCCTATATTACATGTAAATTTGTTCTTAGCACAGCTCAAAGGATGTCTTGCAACCCCCTCTTTTGCTGCTATTCTGTCTAGTAATGTCATCCAGAAATGGATTCAAAATCTGGTGGCGAGACACCAAATCGTGTCGGTGATAACCACAAGCCACTAATACACAACACTTATTGCATTGTAAGTACTGTACTTGCAAACAATAGAAAAATGTTTCATAGATCAACTAGGCTGTGACTTGTATGTCAGGCTGTGGGCAGCCTCATCGAACAGACCACCAACCAGGAATCATGGTCAGAGACTGGGCTGCGGGAACGTTGATCCTCGGAATCATCGACAGGTACAGGTCTAGGTACAGTTGGCATTATGTTCATATACATATCTTATAATCACATTTACATCATTTGTAGAAAAACCAGGTGGCAATAATTAAAATTTGCAAACAATGATAACCACATTTAGACTTGAAGAGCACCATATGACTATAACTGACTGCTAATGGTTAAAGTGCAAGTTTAATAAAGTTATTTAGCTTTATGCAAGTTATTTGCCAGGTGGCAAATAACTTTGCCATTCTAATAAGCGTAATGATACCATACATTAGTTATTTGAATTTGTATAGAAATCTCAATTTTAGGTTTCATATTCCCTAATTTAATCTTTAATTTCAGACACAACAGATGATTGTACAGAATACAACCTTTTTCTGAGTCCTTCAGGCAATACTTCATCTCCTGGTTCTGCCAGTGAAGAAGATTGCAACTCTGAACCCTTCACTCAGAAAGGTCAGAAACAGTACTGTTTGAGAGAAGGGAACCCCTACACAAATTAATCTCTATATAAAGAAAGGAATATTTTTGTTTTTGCTAAATATTTATTCATATTCATTTTCATTTCTTTGTTTTCTACTTTCATGGGTGGGAAAACATCAACGCAAAGATGTAGGTGAATTATTAGAAGGGAAATAATGACTTGTAAAATATCTAGGAATAATGATGTTTGATGACCTAATGTTCAAAAAACAAAACAGAGCAAACCTAGCATCATCGAGAAAAATAATAAGTTGGATTATAAAAACATTCAAATCAAGATGTCAAAAAGATGCCACATTGCTACTACTATTCAAACACTTATGCTATCACACCTTGAATGCTGCTCAATACTTGCCTAGCCTTTCAAGGCAGGAAAGATTTCTGAACTGGAAGGAATACAGTGGAAAGGTACTGCACAAATAGAAACGGTAAAATTTCTGAATTACTAGGACTCAAAAATGTACGCTAAAAAGGAAACAAAGGTATCACATAATACATACCGTCTGTATTTGGTAATCGGAAACGTGTGGCTCCCACCCCTGTTTGCGTTGGCTAAACATTCAAGTTGACCAAATTTCTTATCAGGAATATTTAAAAATTAGCAAATTCACAGATATTTTGCACCACAACCCAGTTACTCTTACCGTTTACCCCCACATTTTCAGTTGTACCTGCTTATTCCCGCTGTTTACTGAAAAATTATGAATGTGAATTCATTTGATTATTCAAAGATTTGAGTTACTGTAATTTGGATTACCAAGCTCTTACAGTACAGTACTTAAAAAGATACTTGAAGGGCAGGTCCTAAATATTCTCAATAAAGTAGCACCTTACTGGAGGAAAAGATACAGTTGTTGGTAGAATGGCAATTGGCATTCTATTAACTATTAGTGTTAACTATTATTGTTTACAATGGGTGTTATGGGTATTGCTCTCTTATTTGTTGTGTAGAGAGCTGGTCTTGGTGAAACCCTCATAGTTTCAAGGAGCAATGTTCTTGTGATCCTAATTTCATCATGCATTGATCCCCGGGGTAATGCAGTTATTGTTAATTTTAGTTACTATTGCCTGGTTTTTACACAAATGTAAATAGGTTATAATACATCTATGTAAATGTAATGGAGTTAGCAGAAATTTTGTCATGGACCTTATTACTTTGTATTGCTTAATATGTGAAGAAATTAACATGTACATGTACTATAGCCTTGTGGTTTTCGTCATATCACAATTTGGTGCTTGCTGCCAGTGTCTGAATCAATTTCTGGACAAATTACCAGACAGAATAGCTGCCAAGGAGTGGGGTGCAAGACACTTTCTTTTGAGCTGTGCTAGGAACAGGAACAGTGCAATATAGGTATACAACTGTACACATTATATTGTAAACATATTTTTTCTTAACAATGTGTAAATAAAAACTTATTCCACATATTGTCAAACTAAAGTGAGGCAAAATATAAACCCTCTGACTTAAACATCATAGGCTTTTTCCCTAAATGTGAGTCGACAAAATTTTGTTGCCAGTTCATGGACACAGTAACCAGCCAGAATCCTCCTGATTTTTTTTTTGTATGCATGAATAATTATCATTTTATAAGGTCAAGTTGTTATTATTTTAAAATATTTTTTTCACAGGTAGAATGGCACCTTTCATGATAGCTACATGCCAAGGGTTAAGCTCCAGGAAGTTACTTAGAGACTGGACAGAATGGGACATTTGATTACATTCAATGCTTCATTTTTATTGTTGTGTGAATTAAATTTGACTACAGTGCTTGAAACCTTTACAAGTCTTATTAGAGAAGTGTTAATTTTTCAGGTAGCAAATGTACGAGAAAAGTGAATTCATCAGCAAGAGTATCCCACCAAGTAACTGCTGACACTGGTCCCTCTTCAAAAAGTGAATTGCCAGAACCAGTGAAAGGTGCTATGGCATCTGAAATGGCCACATTGGCTGATGATTACATGCATTCTTCAGATGTAAACTCTAATGTATGCCAAACTTCTGATATTCCACAGAAGCCTAAAAAAGAAGTTGGGAAAACTTTGCCAGCTGAAACGTTATCATCTACAGAGAATACAGAAGGTTCTGCGCTGGTGCTTTCTCATGTGAAGGAAGAACCAGTCAGATATGCTGGAGCCTCATTTGATGATGACACTGAGTCACAAATAGAAACCAGCAAATCTATTGAAACATTGCAACATGCACAACTTTGCCAACCATCAAAAATAATTTTTCTAGCTTCAACTAAAACTTCTGAGCAAAGTGGCAGTGAACTACTATCAACCACAAATGTTTTCTCATCAAATACTACTTGTCTAGCTACAACTAACTCCTCAGAGTCCAGCGACTCTACATCTGCAACTACAACCAATTCACTTCAAAAGAGCACACCATCTGCATCCATTAACACCACATCATCATCGGATATATCTCGGACTTCTCGGCTACACGTCTCGCCTTCATTGGCACCATACTCTCAGTCCAACACAAAGGAAAATTCTTCTTTGGATGCAGGGGAATCTAAATTAATCCCAGCTAAATCTTCCATCCAAGAAACACTAGGGACTCCAGCAGACCTAGAAAACCACTTGAAAAAACTGTCTGATGAAACAAGTGGTGATGAGCAGACAATTATGGTGGCTGAAGGTGATTTGGCAGTTGTCAACGACAAAGGTAAAGTATTTAACCCAGTTTATACTCTAATCAACACTATTTTTAAGAAGCAAGCATTAATTAGCAGCTATTAACCATTATCCATTTTAATGGAAGACAGTGAATCTTGTATATCAGTTTTGTATGAGATTAAAGTACTGTAGTTAGGCAGTTTGTCACTATACATGTGACATGGGCTTCCTGGTTTTTGTGAATGAAGGGAAGGGCGCTATCAGGATAAAGGACCAAGCCATTACGACCATATAGCACTTGGAAGGGATCAGGATAAGGATTTGGGATGGGACTGGGGTAAGGAATATAAGACGACCCAATCACTTGGACGGTCGAGGATTGAACGCCGACCTGTATGAAGCGAGACCGTTACTCTACCGTCCAGCCCAAGTGGTTGGGCAATGAGCTATCCCTCATTTACCTAGCTGAAAATATTCTAAAACATATTGCCTTAGTTCTAACTTAATGTGGCAAGACTAAGTTAATCTAGGGAGAATGTGGTTACTGTGATAGTTTCGTTTAATAATTTTAAAATTATCTACAGGATGTAATTTTAACAAATGTTTATATTATTAATAAAGTAAATGAGGACCAGTGAAAATGGATACATCTTTCAGAGTTTTAGAGAACCCCATTTTTTCTTTTCTACTAGTCTTGTTATGGATTTTTTTCAGATATGAGGTCTGTGACTAATTGATTTGATGTTTATACTCTTTGAATAGAAATGTTTTCAAGTTGCAAATATTACCCCTTTATTGGTAATTTTAGCTGCTAAAGGTTATACATGCAGGGTTTTTTTAGTGCAAGTTATATTTATGCAGTTCTGCATACATTAAGGTTTCTATTATGGTAGTGTGTGCGTAATCTGTTTCCTAGGTTGACATCCTTGCTTTATTCCATTTAACTCGAGTAAAAAAGTTTTTCTGTGCTATAAATGAACTGAAGCAAACTCCTACTTAATGTTGAATTTTCTTTAAGAGAGACTCGATGTAATTTAATGCTGGCTTTTTCAGATCTTACATGTGAGGAAGAGTGCACATGCAGTAAATGCCAAGAAAAGAGTGAGAAAGCTCCATCAGCAACAACCAAACCTCCTTGTCAAGTTCATCGTACATGTTAGTTGATTGTTGTCAAGTTTATGTAAGATTATATTTTTAAGTGGAATACAATGATATTTAGGTCAAATGGAACCCAGGTTAGCATATATCTAGATGCAATGGAAGGAATTGATCCTGATTGTGTGATTGCAATAAATAACACTGGTAAAATGGAACTTGTTGGCTTGATTGATCATGTCAAGATATCAAACATTGAATGTAATGAAACTTCTCTTTGGTGGCTTTCTGAACTCCCCACCTGGAACCTTCCAAATGTTGGGTACTACAACAAAATCTAATGAATCCCAAGCACTTACCCTAAGACTAGGTACAATAGATGTGTAAATATTGTGGTAGAAACTAGAAAATAAATTGATCAGTCTCCCACCAAACCAGAACAGAGAGAACTGGAAGGTTAATCAGCAGAGGTATCAAAAACCTGCATTGATGTTCCAAGGAAATTTGAATGTAATGAGGAAATTTAGGATGAAAATAACCACTGCTGAAAATCACAAACAAAATACTAGTCTATGGTTAGCTGAAGACCAGACACCAACAAAGGGCTTAGTCTACACACATGTAAAAAAGTGTTCTCTAATGTATCCTATGATGGTGGTGTTTTGTGGTGGTGGAAGTGAACAACCCAGTGGACTGTTCAGTTGGGTATTCTCAATCGACTTGAGAATGGTCCAGGATGGACCGAAACGTCGTCGTCCCTTCACCTTCTAGTGTGTGGTCTGGTCAACAGTAGGATACAGCTTGGAAGCAAGTCTCCTTGATGCCAAGTTGTTACTGGAAAGTATTTTGCTGTGCCTGGCTACTTTGCGAGGCACAGTGCAATCCTCAGAATAGTTTTGGGTTACAGTGCTGTTTTTTCGAGGGTTTGGGGGATTTTGAGGGCCATGCAGGGTGGTTGACCCTGTAGATCCTTACTTGGACTTTGCTCTGCCTTCTTGCTATTTGGGGCTGCCGTTAATGTTTGTTCAGTGCACTGTCTTAGTTGTTGATGTCTTCCTTTCAGGCATGTGGTAGAGTTCTTGGTTGTGCCCCCTGGGCCCTTCTCCTTTTCTAATATCGGGCCTCAGGTGCTGTGCTGGGCCTGAGGCTGGACTTTTTTTTGAACCCCCGGGGAATATGTGCACCTTAGATGTTCTGTTTTGCCCCTGAGGTTACCTCATACCCACAGGGGCTCTATTGGAACTATGGGTTTCCCAGATTCACTTTCCCCTTTTATGAGGGGGGGGGTGGTTTGCCATGTTGCCTTCTCTGGCTTTGGCATGAGTGGACTGGTTTTGGCTCCTTTGCCTCTAAGGTCTTGTCTTCGGGCTTGTCTTCTTCCTAATTGGAATTTGAGATCCTGGTCTTTTCCAAGCTAGCAATCAGTTCATGTGCTTTTTGTTTTTTGGTATAACTGTATTTTCTGGGCACATGTGTGTCGCACAGTTCAGTCAGTGTTTAGGGATGGGCTTATTTTGTGCGTCTTTCTGCGCTGGCCTTGTCCTGGTTTGGTCCTGTGGTGGCTCCTTTACTGTCTTCCTTGGCTTTTGTTCCTTGTATAGCAGTTGCTTAGGGGGTTCTGCTTCATCTCACTACTGGGAAGTGCATTTGACCCTTGTGGATATTTGGTTGGTTTGGTTGGTTCGAAAAAGTGGTCCCGAGTCTTTAACTGGTGGTGCCTGGGGGGGGGGTGTCGCTGTGCTTTCAGTGGCAGCACTAGTGGAGTAGTTTATTATCCCCCGCCTAGTGGTATTGGGAGAGTGGTTTCCAGGAGTTTGCTTGGCATCCAGCTAGTAAAGCTCTCTTCTTTGGGTTCTGGCAGGGATGCCTCTTGTTATTCCACACTTTTCTCCCATTTTGTTTCCAAGTATGAGGGTTTTTACAGGTGATTGGGGCAGTGGGCTCTACCTTCAGTGTCTTGCTTTCCCTGGATTGTCTGAGTTCTTTTCTGGTCCACTGTTTGTGCTTGGCCTCATTCTAATAGTTCTTGAGGCGTAATTAAAGTCTTTGGATCTCTGGGCTGTGTCTTAGCATGTCTTTTCACCTGGTTCATGGGCTGCCTGGTCCAAGCAGTTGCATATTTTTGTGCACTTTACTTTTCTGGTGGGTTTATCTTTCCTTAATGTGATCTTATATCCCCACTCCTCTAAGCATCTATTGATTAGGGGCCAGATTCTGCCCCTGGTGTCCAGTAGGTGCTTTGGATTTTTAGAGGAACGCTTAAATACATTTTTACATTGAATCGTATATGAAAATATGTTTAAATTTATGCTCCATTTTACTATGCTATGTTATGCTCCATTATGTACTATTCATATGCTATGAGTAGTACATAATTACACTTACTTGTGCTGTTACATTTACCTCCCAATTTTGGAGGACCGGCTGCCCAGACTTATATAGAGGGATTACAGTACAGTCCTTAAACATTTACGTCATTTTCTGTGTGTGTGTGTGTGTGTGTAAAAAAAGTGTCTTCTATTTTTAATGCTACTGTATTTACAGTTTTGATATTACATTTTCACATATTAGCCATGACACTGCATGCAAGCCTTGCATGCAGTGTTCTCTTCCAACTTTGTTTAGAAAGAATGTGTACATTTCAGTAATTTCCTCATGTATTTGTAATTTCAGTATACCCTTGCTAATGTTCTTCTCTTTCAGATTCTGGTCCTATAAAAAGACAAACTGTCAAAACTAAGGGTGGTGGCAAGAGAACTTTCATGATTTTAAACAAGGCATCTCTTAAGGTCCTGCAAGCCAAGGGACTCATTCAGCCACTGAAGAAATGTAAGTGAACTGAGGTTTAAAACAAGAATTGAAGTACAAGTTATTGCATTGCATTACAGTTTACCATTTACTTAGCCAACAGAATAGACACCAGGGTGATATCAGTTGGATTAATGTGCATTAGAGTGCATTTGTGTTTTTGTTCGTAGAGTGGCCTTTAAGCCAGAAAAGCCTGAGCAGGATGGTGGTGGAGTAGCCCTTTCGCCTAAGGTTTCCGAATGTCCAGAAAACGGTCAAATTAAAGTGTCCTCTCCTAACCTACCAGAAGACAGAAAACGGGACAGTACTGTACGTCACTTTTGCGAACCACATCCATTTTCGAGTATGACAATTTTTGGCCTTCTATAACACATACGATAGAAATGCGACGTTCTTTGTAAGGGGACAGGTTGGGTGGAGAACTAAATGAGAGCAGAGTGAATTTGCTCAGTTACTTTAGATACCTACAGGGTGCTCATCTCCAGGTAAGGAGGGTTAGCTTAGTCTGCAGCCTTGGCATGGCTGTAGACAAAATGACGGTGATTAAAACCATACCCTTCCACTCAACCTTACCAACGGATTGATCTTTTGTATTGTGGGTCTAAGTATTGTCATCTGGGTCATTGTGCCTTTGATTAGATTATTACCTTATCACAATTTTAGTTAATATTTCCCTCATTTTAATTAGCCATCTTCTGGTTATAAGACATTGTATTTATAATTTGGGTATTCTTTGCAATTATGCTCCTGATTGCGATTGATCAAAAAATGTATTTGGAACAAACAAAGTTGAGTGCAGAACGAGTCAGGGGAAATAAATTTGTTGGTACAGTATAATGAAAGCTCTGGTCAAGAAGAACAAGATAGCAGCAGATGTGGCTATATGTCTGTCTTAAATTTATATAGATGGTTGGTGCTAAATGATCTTCCAGGCTTAGTTCCTTCTTTTGATAATTACGCTCGTATATATACTTATTATTTTGTGTGTAAACCCCCAATTTTCAGCTCTTTTTTTTTTTTCACTGTAAATGTTGAAGAAATCTGCCATGGAAAAAGTAGAACCAAAAATAAATTGGAATTCCTGACCATAACATATCTATGGCACTATGTTCACACTACCAGAGAAAAACAATACCAACCCCCATATAGCAGCCTGTGTTCATTGCACCTACCTAGACTCATTATACTTCCTGTACTCTTTATAGAATCTTGCCATCATTACAGTTCCCCATAATTATTGTACCCTTGTATGCATTAGAATGCCTGTAATTATTTTACCATTTTTCCTAATTACAACTTCCTGTACATTTCACAGAACTCTGATTTTCTGGGATATCCCCATCCTGGGGGACACCACTCTTATCCACAACAAAAACATACTTGATTAACTAATGTTTCATCCTATATATTCCAGTTCATCCTGATTTGATAGGGCAGTACTTATAGTAACGATGTGGACCATCGTACACATACGGGTATTGACGTAATGAGTAATTAGAAAGTAGAAGTTAGTACTGTTGAATTCGGACAAACCTGGAAAAGGTTTTGTATGTAAGTATGTTGCTAATAAAAGCTAACCTAACCATCCTAGGCCTAATATACGCTATCAGAGGCTGGAACATATAGTACATACATGTGCTAGACTAGGCCTAGGAATGTTTAAGTTTGATTTTAGCTTTTTTTTTTTTTATAAAGTGAATACAGTAGTACCAAATTCTACTATTATCTAATTGCCCATTACATCAATATGTGTACGATGGTCTGCATAGTTACAAAAAGTACTATCTAAACTGGAGGATGGGTTGATATTTTCATGATTGTACATAAATTTTCATTATGCATATATTTAAAATATATTTACTATTTTTCAGTTGCTGAGAGCCAACCATCAGCATGTGAAACTCTATTGCCCTCAGTGCAATCAATGCAGAATAAATCAAAAATTCAGTATCATTCAATTGCTACTTCGCCTAATGGTTCTCCTCTGTCATTCGAAAAAGCATCAATGTCAGTCAAGACGTCAGGTTCAACAGCTCAAACGCCCTCCTCTATGAATCAGCTTATATCTTTATCAAACAAAGCTCCAAGCAGTTTGCCTCAAACTCCTGTTGTTGTAACATGGTCTGCTACTAATGGAACAGACACCCCTTCATTTACTTTCACCATTCAGCTTCCACCTGGATCAAACCAACCTTGTAGCACACCTCAGACTCCCCTTCAAATTGTTACTCCTCCAGTGTCCATTGGAGGTTTAGACTCTGGATCTACTTACTCTTCTAGTCAAGTCAACAAACTTTCTTCAAATTTAAACAAGACGTCAGGCATTAACCAGAGTTTTGAAGGTAAAAGCCAGTCTCTGATATGCAATCTTTCAAAATCTGAAACTGGAACCACTAAAACTCAAACAAATATTACAGTTATGCAATCGAGCAGGTCTTCTTCTGGGTCTAATAACTGTACATATACCAACACAGTTACAAGTGAATCTCCTATTATGAGTACACAGTTTCCATTGGTTTCCAGAGAGTCTCCTAGTGATCATATTAATATAACTCACAGTGGAATAGATTTATCTGGCAATGATTTGGAAGGTTCTAATGATTACTTATCCTCTGGTCCTTCAAGTCCACAAATAAATACAGAAGATACGGCAATAAACCAAAAGCCTGAGATATTTCCTATTGGAATTGCTTCTGGTCCTTGTAAAATTAGAAAAGGCGGAATGAAAATGTATCGTTATGTAAATATGCCAGATGGAAGTAACAAGGCAGGACCTAAAAGTTCACAGAATGTGAGGTGGGTTGCTCTTCCAGCTGTACCCATAGGCAGTGGTCAGCCATTGGTCTCAGATGCACTCAAGACAGTTATTAGTTCACTACAAAATACTCGGCAAGGGACAGCGAAGACACACTCGTCTGCCGATACCTTGTCTTCTGATTTACGCACTGCTCTCTATGAGGGCTTTCCAATTGGAACTGTGGAACATAAAGGTAAGGTCATTACTGAATAGAATTAAAGAAGGGATTTACTTTCGTTTTAAGCCATTTCAATGTTCAGTACTCTTTAGCTTAGTGTGCAGAATATACTTAACTGTAAATTTGTCTTGCCTTATTGGTGTGCAGAGTTCAAAACAGTTTTCCTTTATTTGTACTCTTATTTTGCATTACAAAGTAGTATCAATATGTATTCTTAAATGTTTTTGTAAAATTTCCTTGTTCTTTCATTACTTTTTCTTTAATCACTTCAACTGGAGTTTATTTGTCAGGTTTAAGAAACTCATATTTTAGAAGCATGCAGCACTTCCTTATCTAATGGCATCCAAATAATTCTGATGGTGATTCACAATTACAATTCCTCAACATTTTCTGAAATTTAAGATGTCCAAAAGGAGAGTCCCCTCTACTGAGAGAGTGAATCAGAAATTTGGATTATGATGAAAGTGTAGTAATCTTTGTAGTAACCTCTGCAGCCCTCTATTTGAGCATATTCTTGTGTATTGCAGAAGACATGGCAAGAAAAACAAAATCCTAGGCACCATAATTATAATGTACAACAAAATAAAATTTACAAAATGTGTAAATACAGTAGTTGAATGCAGTTTTGAAAGATACAAATACGGTATTATTTATCAAATGTAAATATTACTTATTAATGTATTATTTTAGACAAAACTAATGCAATATTGGATAATCACCAGGTTCCTGTGTTTTACCTGAAATCTAAATTTCATTAGTAAAAAACAACTGGTAGTTCATACATATTTGTATACTGTATTAAATATACTGAATTCAAGGGATATAGTTGCATATGCATTGTGATCAATGTACAGAAATATTACTAATGGCATTAAACTTATCTATCCTACACCCACAGGAGGAGCTTCCATACACCAATCGCCTTACAAGTCTGCCAATAGAGAACTCAAGAAAAAATATTCTCGCTTGCTTAATAAGCACAGGCAAAGATATCATTTACTGCTAAAGAAGTATAAGGCATTAGAGAACAAGTTTGCTGTAGTTGAAGATGCTGGTACTCCAGAACAAGTTATTAGAGATGCTAGAAATTTTTTATCAGAAGAACATGTCCTCTTTCTGGAAAGCCAGATGTTCCTGCGAAACAGGCCAGGAACGGGAAACAGATTTTCCAAAAAATTTATGAGATTAATGATAGAATATTATAAGCGCAGTGCTGCAGGGTATAGATTTCTTAGAACAATTTTTACTATCCCATCAGTTAAAACAGTGCAGAAATGGTTAAGCAAACCATTGAACATTAGAGAAGATGAAGGAAAAGATCCATTGGCAATACCCATGCAGATGGGAGATCATGGAGAAGTTAACAATGGAGAAATTTGTATGGAGGCTTCAGGTTCTGGCTTAGGAAAAGCTCAAAGTGCATGCAACAGTGAAAATAGTTCCTTAGACAGGAGGAGTTATTCTCGCAAATTATCTCAAGGAAGATCAACTCCAGACGAATCGGACATGGAAGAAGGCTCCTCGGAGGAATACGACTCTGAAGAATCTGGACTTGAAGAGATAGAAGACGAAGAAGAAGTGATGCAGGAAAGTGAGAATGCTAGAAAAAGATTGCCAGGACAAAGTAGTCAAGGTTCGAATGAACGAGACATAACAATTGATTGGGAAGAAGAACCATGGCCTCTATAGTAATTTAATGATTTAGTTTCTTTCTTTTTTTTTTTTTTTCTTTTTTTTCTTTTTTTGCAATATAACGTTATGGACTGTATTGTGATCCTGTTTTATACTACGTATAAAGCCTTACTGTAAATACCACTTTATCAATAGCTTGTGGAATTATTGTACAGCTCAAAAATGTTTTCTATTTTTATAATTGTGCTAATAATCAGAAAAGTTTACTTAAAAAGAATTTTACTAAAATTATGCATGTTGAGTGTGGCGTCTTGCACCACGAGACAGATATGCATCTCAAGATACCTGTAGTTGTCTTAGTGGGTGTCTGGCACCTTAAAGCAAACTTAAGTCAAGTCTGGTGTGTTGCACCTAAAGATATTTCATTGCATAACAGTACAAGTGAACTATAATATAATTTCTTTGACATTTTCTTTTCTAAATTTTTCTTTCGATTTAATAATTGAAAGCCGAGTATGTAAGAAAGATTGTTTTAATAAATAATTGTATACAAATCTATTTTATTTAAACATATAGAAGCTTGAAGCAGTCAGTACATGAAGTTGTATTGATTCTTACCATTTTAATCCAAACATGCCAAACCTAAAAATTTGTAAATGTCTATTAATCCGTCATAACTTTATAGTTTAGTTTCATAGTACAATGCAACTGTTGTTGGGTTTCATCCTCAGGAGCATCAGTAGTTCGACCTTGGAGGACCCTCAATACATGCCTAAAGCATCTATGTGTATGCACTGGCTTCAATCCCCAACAAAACAAACTAATGTACAGTACAGGCTGTTTCCGGCCTTTGTAGTATCATGTCCAAGACTTGCTCACTTACTTTATCATGGTTAGTGATGAATGTTATTCCATGTTATAGTATGGAATTCAACGCGATTGCTATGGACTTCTCGGGCTTTTCTGGGGCTTTTCTCTGGGCTTTTTCTTAATAAAAGCCTAATGTGTATGAATACACAACAGCTTATCCACGAATTCGCTACTTGGTGAGTATTGTACCCAGACCACTTGTAAGACTGATATTATTTTGGCCATTGTAATAGTTCTTGTGGTTTTGGTTATAAAGCCAGTAAGGTAATCATTAAGGGTAAGTACATTTCTCACTAGAGACAGTCTTTTCTGTAAATAACTCCTTAGTTTACTGCTGGTATTATAATCTAACCATTTTGCAGGTAAAGTCTGGGAGGAAGAAGACTACCTTACAAGCATCATTTTGACCCTAGTGCCCTGACGTCATAATATTCTCGAATCTTTGACGTGGCTTCTGATCAGCACGAGTGTATGAATGCAGTACTAAGTAGCCTGATGCCTCATCCATAACAGGGATTTCTTGAGCCTGGAATCAGGCCATTCCTACGTTTAAGCTAAGGCCTTAAATTCTCCATACTAATAAGTAGCTTCTTGTACTCCGACACAATGAATTATTATTATTAATATACTGTATACTGTACAGTATATTAGATCTCTGATAGACTATTATGCACCAGTCATGGTAAGCACAGCAAAAGTATTAATAGACCGGACAAAATGCAAAGTAAGGCCCTCAGAATTATCCTTTGCTGTCCTAAGTTTTTAATATGCAGAAATAATTAGATATACCTAACATTCAAGATAGAATATTTGCAATCACTCTTATGATAACTAAAGCATCTACATTGTAACGAAAATAACATTGTATCAATTGAACTTTTAATAATTTTAGAATACATATTTAGTGGAACTAGTGAGTCTGCGTGGATTCCAAGTAACACCACTCATTAAAATGTTTGGGTTGCACTAGTGTTCAGAGATGACAGAGCAACATGTCTCGCCACCCATATATATTATCAACAATGTTCATGAGCTAGTTGTATTGAATATTGTAACTAGCTCATGAAGATTGTAACTTGCTTAGCTAAATGAATTGTGGGGGCTCATTCCCTGAGTCCATTATGTGCCTCTGTAATACTTTCCACTACTGCCCACAAGATAGGTATGGGGTGCATAACAAATGAACTAGATTAACACTCAAAATTATAGAAGACACTGCAGTACACAACCTAATTATCTCTGACTCCCTTAACTTAATTATTTATTTATTTATTTATTTATTTATTTATATACAAGAAGGTACATTGGGTTTATGAGAATACATTGGATAGTCCAGTATTTACATTCTTGTAAAGCCACTAGTACGCGCAGCATTTCGGGCAGTTATTACTAGTACTACATGGCTTACAATCAAATTGTAGTGTTCTTAATTATGCATACTTACTAATAAGGGTCAGCTAAACTGTTGTGGATTCCCTCTCACACTGGCCCACAATATCGAACATAATCTTGGGCTCTCATATAGACCTAAAAAAGTGTCATTAGACGAGAACTGATAATTTTAAGAAAGTATAGAAGAGTACAAACAGGAATGAGCAAATCCACTGTTTATCATCAATAAAATGTGACAAACAAAACATGTTAAGTAACAATCAGTAGATTGAAATTGAAATAAGTTTATTGAGGTAAAATACACACAAAGGGATGAGGTAGCTCAAGCTATCCTCACCCCGTACAGTACATCGTGTTAATATATACATACACACATCACAAACAATAAACATATTATCAGTAGACTGACAGGTGCTGTCACTGCTCAAATACGTTTATAACTGCTCGTGGCCTGCTGAACTGCCTTTGAGGGTAGGGAGGGGGGGGGATGTAGGCGATGGATCAATACCCGATGGCGACTTGAGGGCCATTTTCGTGACTCACTGAATTCTTCAGAGAAATATTTGCTTCAGACAATACCGGTAAAATGTGTGCCGGATATGTGCTTTTTAATTCTAAAGTGTAATATTTACCTGAAGACCACTATTTACCCAGTGGCCTCGACGAGGACAGGAAGCCGGCGGCTCATTTTCCCTGAGATTTTTCGAACTCGATTTTCAGCTGCAGCAATGTCGTGGCATTTGCGGCTTCGGCAGGTAGGCGGTTCCATTGGTTTATAGCACTGTTAAGTCCCGGCTATATCTGGGTGCAATTTAAGTGACGGGTTTTCTACATGTTGGAGGGTGTTGTACATGCTGCTGTGGCGATATGTTCACTCCCAAGAGTGACGCTGCTGAGGCGATCACTCAGGAATGATGCTGCTGAGGCAATATGTTCATGGTACAGCCCTTGTGAGCGCTCCCAACGGTAAGAAAACGTCGTTCTAAAGTGCCCTAACCTCGCCAACTAGAGGACCCACGAACAGAAAACGGGACATTGTCAATTTATTGGCTGCCATATTTTCTTGTACATCAGTTTTTGGTCTTAGGTAAAATATACGTCAAAATGCGACGTGCTATAGAGAGGTTACCTTGAGGTACTTCCGGGGCTTAGCGTCCCCGCGGCCCGGTCGTCGACCAGGCCTCCTAGAGAAGTCTTAGAACTAGTCTGGAGAGAACTAGTCTTACCCACCAGTTTCCATGGAATACCTGAGTTTTACCTGATTTACCTGAGGGGGCCTCTAGCCCTAGTGGCTTGGACGAGGACAGGAAGCCAGCGGCTTGTCGAAGGTCCTCCATTAACCTTTACGATTTCTCTCAATGTGAAAAAAAATTATATTAGGGTTATGAGGGAAGAAAAGCAGATGCAGGAAGGGAAGGAGATGAAAGAAGGGAGCAGATAAACGAAGGGGAGCAAATGGAAAAAAGAAAGCAAATGAAAAAAAGGGAAGCAGCTGAAGGATAGTAAGCAGACAGAAGAAGGGAAGCAGAGAGGCGGGAAATGGGTCGAGGAGCGGCCCAAGGCCACCCAACAAAGCTGGACGGTACTAACAAAGCTTTCATCAAAGTCTGGCTATCCTCGACCTCTTTATACCGAGCTAGGACGCTACTCCGTACAGTATAATGACAATTATCTGTAAATAAGCATAGTTGGTCTTACATGGCAATGCCAACTAGGAAGTTAAGCATATCCAATATGTATTTATAAGATTTTCCGAACTTAACTGGAATTGTGTGTGATAGCGATGGTCGGGTGGCAGTGTCCGCCATCTTTCGCTCTGATTCACAAAGTTTCATTCGCTATTTTTTCCTCAGAAATACAGACGACAGTTTGGTTTTATACTTATAAATATAGAAATATTTTCACGTCATTTTCCTCAACATCTTTTAATTCGGGTTGACGTGTTGCAAGCAACGTGACTATGCACACGGCGCTACTCTATATAGCGTTCATGCAGCTGTATTGTTGGAGAGGGGAGGGATGGGCTCTGCTGAAAATCAGCCTCCATCAACCACGCTGCTCCCGATAACATTAATAATTTTGTAACTAGCGTCAAAACTTGTTATTTGCTTAGCTAAACTAGAGGGTTCAGTTACTGAATTGATTATGTGCCTCTGTAATCCTTTACACCACTGCCCATGGGATGGGTATGAGGTGCATAATAAAGAAAGAAAGTGAATTCCTGAGACCCATATACTAATCCCTGGATTGTTGTTGTTTAAGATTCGCTACCTGGAACAAAAAGTTCCAAGTAGCACGGACTATGGTGAGCCCGTAATCTCTGGATGAAATGCGACGAATCCCGTCAGACGAGAACGAGTAACTTGCGCCATTGTCCATCATCAAAATAATTTTCAAGTAAAACTAGTATTTCCGAGCGATCCTACAAATTAATCAAAAGATAATTAAGATTTGTAGCAAACTTATAGCACGTAAAATACTCTAAAATTAGTAGTCGCCTCAATCCTGTGGGTGAAAAATGGAAGGATAATTAATTACCCAGCTGTTCCCTCATGCTTGTGAGCAATGGTGAGGAGTCGCGCCGCTCCCAGCCGGCTGCCGGCTGGCATAGTGTGTCAGCCGTGCTCCCTGACCTTCCTCTAGGGCCTCCACGCCGCTCCCAGCCGGCTGCCGGCTGGCGTAGTGTGTCAGCCGTGCTCCCTGACCTTCCTCTAGGGCCTCCACGCCGCTCCCAGCCGGCTGCCGGCTGGCGTAGTGTGTCTGCCGTACTCCCTGACCTTCCTCTAGGGCCTCCACGCCGCTCCCAGCCGGCTGCCGGCTGGCGTAGTGTGTCTGCCGTACTCCCTGACCTATCTTGTTTGTGCAGAGGTTTACAACTTGATTAGTGCCAGAGCTTAGAGGGTTAAGTTATGAGGATAGGCTGAAGGGATTGGATCTCGCAACCTTAGAGGACAAGAAATAGAAGATATGATAACAACATACAAGATTCTGAGGGAAATTGACGAGGCGGATAAGGACAGCCTCGTCGCATGAGAAAAGGGAGGACACGAGGACACAATTGGAAGCTGGAATCGCAAATGAGTCGATGGAATGTAAGGAAATACACTGAACCAGTAACACACCAAGGGAAGAAGTTGTGGAAGCCACCTCTATTCACAATAAAGAAGATTCGACAAAGATATTGTTAGAATAGTGAAGCTTTAACACAACGGGAACAACAAGGCTAGTATAGGCGGGGCATAAGGAGCTAGAGACCTCACTTCCCCGTAGTCACTGATAGGTTAGTACATCCCGGGCCTCCACAATGCTTCCCTCCCTCCCTACCTACCTACCTCCTTACCTCCCTCCTCCCCTACCTATAGAGACTTCCTCTCTACGCTCCTGATGGATTCCCACGTCAGGGTGAGGCTCACGTGAGGCTCAACTTCTTGCTAGACCGACTCCAACATTGACTCGCCATCTCCATCACTGAGGTTCATAATTTCCAAGATTGGCACTCACCAAGTTTAATAATGAGATTCATCATGCAGATGATGAGTCACAATAACGTGGCTGAAGATATGAAGACGATATCTTGGCCAGAGGACCTGAAGATATGATGACGAGGACTTTTAAATTTTGTTTAATTTTGCCCCGAGGGGCGAGTTTATTGAGCAGCACCACTCATCCTGTGAGTGGACACACCGCCATAGTGACAGTATTGGGCAGCGCCACTCATCCTGTGAGTGGACACACCGCCATAGTGACAGTATTGGGCAGCGCCACTCATCCTGTGAGTGGACACACCGCCATAGTGACAGTATTGAGCAGCGCCACTCATCCTGTGAGTGGACACACCGCCATAGTGACAGTATTGGGCAGCGCCACTCATCCTGTGAGTGGACACACCGCCATAGTGACAGTATTGGGCAGCGCCACTCATCCTGTGAGTGGACACACCGCCATAGTGACAGTATTGAGCAGCGCCACTCATCCTGTGAGTGGACACACCACCATAGTGACAGTATTGGGCAGCACCACTCATCCTGTGAGTGGACACACCGCCATAGTGACAGTATTGAGCAGCGCCACTCATCCTGTGAGTGGACACACCGCCATAGTGACAGTATTGAGCAGCGCCACTCATCCTGTGAGTGGACACACCGCCTTAGTGACAGTATTGGGCAGCGCCACTCATCCTGTGAGTGGACACACCGCCATAGTGACAGTATTGAGCAGCGCCACTCATCCTGTGAGTGGACACACCGCCATAGTGACAGTATTGGGCAGCGTCACTCATCCTGTGAGTGGACACACCGCCTTAGTGACAGTATTGGGCAGCGCCACTCATCCTGTGAGTGGACACACCGCCATAGTGACAGTATTGGGCAGCGCCACTCATCCTGTGAGTGGACACACCGCCATAGTGACAGTATTGGGCAGCGCCACTCATCCTGTGAGTGGACACACCGCCATAGTGACAGTATTGAGCAGCGCCACTCATCCTGTGAGTGGACACACCGCCATAGTGACAGTATTGGGCAGCGCCACTCATCCTGTGAGTGGACACACCGCCATAGTGACAGTATTGAGCAGCGCCACTCATCCTGTGAGTGGACACACCGCCATAGTGACAGTATTGGGCAGCGCCACTCATCCTGTGAGTGGACACACCGCCATAGTGACGGTATTGAGCAGCGCCACTCATCCTGTGAGTGGACACACCGCCATAATAACAGTATTGGGCAGCGCCACTCATCCTGTGAGTGGACACACCGCCATAGTGACAGTATTGGGCAGCGCCACTCATCCTGTGAGTGGACACACCGCCATAGTGACAGTATTGGGCAGCGCCACTCATCCTGTGAGTGGACACACCGCCATAGTGACAGTATTGAGCAGCGCCACTCATCCTGTGAGTGGACACACCGCCATAGTGACAGTATTGAGCAGCGCCACTCATCCTGTGAGTGGACACACCGCCATAGTGACAGTATTGAGCAGCGCAACTCATCCTGTGAGTGGACACACCGCCATAGCAGCATGTACAACACTTCCCGAAAGGAAGAAAATCCGCTGGGTTGTTCATCCTGTCAGTTGTACCCAGACACAGCTGGGATTTGTTTAACTGTCTCAAGTGGACAGTTCCTCAAACAAGAAGATTAACGAGGACTTATTCCTGTGTTCTTATTCACTGCTAGGTGAACGGAAGTATTAGGTGAAAGGAAACTTGCCCAAGTATTTATTTCCCACCCGGGAATCGAATGCAGGATCTCCGATTGTGAGTAGAGATCGCAGCCAATATTTGTGTTTACAAGGTTACATTTAAGCTTGCCTTTCATACACACTGGACAACCCGGCCAGCGGTGGCAGAGTTACCTATATATATGTATACTGTATATAGGTAATTATATTGAATTATATGTAAATATTTCAGAAAGCAAACTTGGGATAATACTGTGAAGAAAGTATTCAGCCATTGTTAGAATATTGTTGAGGTTTATACATAAATCCTTGACTATGTTGGCATTTTAGGAGAGAAAGCGGTAGGTGGTAACGTGAGGTAGCGGCCGTGGTGGCGGAGGTTGACCAGCAGGCAGCTCTCAGACAGCCTTACACCTCCCTAGCTGGCAGACGGTACTCCTAGTTCTCTCTCTTCTCTGTTTCTGCTCAATATTGCCTAGATCAAGTATTTAAGGATTTCAAAGGGGGGTGACGTTCTTGGTGGCCAAGGAGAAGTAGCAAGATATTTTATCACTGACGATATTCTATAAATCTGTAATATCGAGTATTGAAGCTGGAGCACCCACGTGTTTAACTGTGACGGCTGTGGGAACGTTAGTCCAGACACAGCTGCCGACCAGTAAGTACACAATTATTCCCATATAATAAGTTACATCTTTAGCACTTTCTTGGTAGTACAGTGAATCCCCGATTCTTATTCCGGGCTGGACGGCATTAGTTAGACGCGTTTATCGCCCAATGCCTCTGTTCACCGAGCAGTAAATAGGTACCAGGGAGCTGGGCAACTGTTTTGGGGGTTATATAATAATAAGTTTTAGTTACAAGAAGGTACAATGGGTAAGTGAGATTACACAAGATTGGCATTTTTAAATTCTTGCAAAGACACTAAAATAGTAGTTAGTAACATTTGATTGACAGTTGAGAGGCGGGCCGAAAGAGCAGTGCTCAACCCCCGCAAGCACAACTAGGTGAATACAACTACGTGAATACTAACGCATAGCGTTTCCGGTTAGGTTAAATAATGGGGAAGTAGTTCGACCTTTTTGGGGGGGGGGGGGGTATACCTCGATATTAGTCTAATATATATGCTAATTATGCTTGTAGGGGTCGAGCTTCGGCTCTGGTCCCGCCTCTCAACTGGTGTACAGGTTCCCGAGTTTATTGGACTCTTATCTCTACATTTGAAATTATATGGGTCAGCCTGCACCACATCACTTCCTAGTGCATTCCATACGTATACTTATTACTGACACTGAAAGTTCTAATGTCTGTGGCTCGTTTGGGTACTCGGTTTCCACCTGTGTCCCCTTATGTGAGTACGTACCCAAATTAAATGTCGTTTAGGCACGATAAAAGCTATTTGCGCCCATGTTGGGGCATTAGGAGCTGCCTTGTATGGGTCAATAGGCCTTCTGCAGTTACCTTTGTTCTTATGTTCAAGTTTGACGCGTAAAAAGTGATTTTGGCTATACGTATGACATTATATTTAGAGATTAGTATACTCGTGGGCAGGGTATGTCTTGTCGGCAACCTAGCCAAGAAGTATATATAGTCTACGCCTACACGAACCTGAAGGTTATTTTATAACAAAATTAGTACAAAAGTCTATAAAAGATATTTATTTGCAGAGGGGGAGCGCATAAACGGATGTACGTACATACCAATATTGACTGGATGCATTAATAATCTGTATCAAGTATATTACTATTATAACATCTAATAACCATTGGCTGTGTGACGCAGTGGACATCTGGCTCGTCATTCAGCCCTTGTTAAGCCCCTTACGTCGTTGGGGTCTGGTCAGTTATTGGAATGGGCGACCAGCTGCTGCCTTGGCCAGGGGGGCCTTGATAAGCCGAACATACTGCCAAGTGTCTGATAATACGATTTTATACTGCGTGATGATGATACGTTTTTATGTAGGCGATGAGTCACAATAACGTGGCTGAAGTATGTTGACCAGACCCCACACTAGAAGGTGAAGAGACGACGACGTTTCGATCATAAGAACAAGGTAACTGCAGAAGGCCTATTGGCTCATACGAGGCAGCTCCTATCTATAACTACCCAATCCCACTCATAAACATGTCCAACCAGTCCGTCCTGGACCATTCTAAAGTCTCACAATCGACTTGAGAATGGTCCAGGACGGACCGAAACGTCGTCGTCCCCTTCACCTTCTAGTGTGTGGTCTGGTCAACATACGTTTTTATACTGCGTGAGCCTTGTATAGTAACCATCCTGTGTATGAGGGGTGGCCATCTGTGTGTATAGTTGTATTCGTGTTTTTGTGATATTGCTTCCATCCCTCCTCCAATAAAACACTTAAATCGAAGTTTAAAACTTTAGTGCGTTCCCATGGATGGGGAACCGTAGCTTGGGAAGCCATTTTTGTGTACAAGGGAGTATTATACGAGACATTTGAGACAAGTCATTTGTTTGGTACATTAATGCAAATACAGGTAACAAGAGACCCTAATATAGCAATTGAAACAAAGTTCATTTAATGCCCCATGCAAGCACTGCCATATTGTGGGTGTGGAAGTTTAGTCTTGTCACATACTGGTATCAAGAGGTCTATACAAGGCAACGAAATTGAAATAAGTTTATTGAGGTAAAATACACACAAAGGGATGAGGTAGCTCAAGCTATTCTCACCCCGATCAGTACATCGTGTTAATACATACATATAAACACTTCACAAACAATAAACATACTACCAAACATTGAGAGATAAACATCTACATTTCCAAAGGCAACGAGGAGCAGTGTCAGTGTGTACTGCCTTAGTTGTTAACGAGGATTAAACACTGGTGTTCGAGCAGTCCCCGGTTGTGTAGAGGTAAAGACGCTCACCTGGCGTTTCGCGAGTGCTTTGTCCTGGGTTCGTATCCTGGCTGGGGAGGATTTACTGGCGGCCAATCCAAAAAAGATTTTTCGCAGGTCCATATTCCAGGGAACATAGGATTAAGGACTTGCCCGAAACGCTACGCGTGTTAGTGGCTGTACAAGAAGTAAGAACTCTTGTATATATAAATAAATAAATATAAAATAAAAAAAGTAGTGTATGACTTGGGAATGCGACTGGGGGAACGAGGGCGGATGTGGCAGGCGGGCTGCCTGCACCAGCAGCTGATGGTGCAGCCACGTTGGTGGTGCAACATTGCATTTTGACGTATTTTCCTGCTGCCAAAATCTGATGTACTGAAAATGGTAGCGGCTCGCAAAATTGACTGATGACCCGTTTTCTGTTCGTGGGTACTCGAGTAGGTTAGAGTTGGGCAATTTAGTACAATTTGGTAATCCAAATGTATTACCAAAACCGCCACTGTATTTTGAATGTATAATGCTAATCATCTCTACCAAGCGACCACAATATTTTCCTACCCCATGGGAAATCACCCGTTTCCAAATTCACCGTTTTCCCCACCCAAGACGATTAAAGAACCTATGCCTCGACAAGAAGCAAAGTATAATCCTTTAACCGTGGACATCTTCAAGAGGAAACTAGATTTATTCCTCCAAGGAGTGCCGGACCAACCGGGCTGTGGTGGGTATGTGGGCCTGCGGGCCGCTCCAAGCAACCAGAACCCCATCAACCAGGTATCAACCAGGTTAGCCCAGATTGATGCTCTGGTCAAAGAGCGCTCCATCTCTCGAATTATTTACACTGATGGCTCCTTGCACTAGTCCTATGGTGCAGCTGGGAAGGGCAGTTGTGACAGTGGGAGATACCTCCTATTCCTGTTAAGTTCTTGTAACCTCTCCTGGTATATCTCATACCCCTCAGTTCGGGTACTAGTCTGGTATCTTTGAACCTCCAATTTAGTCTTGTGCGTGACTAAATACTCTACGCTGAAGCTAGTTCTTATGTTGGTCAACTTGGCATATGCCGCTCACGATATCCTCTTGATTGGGCTTCAGGGGACAGGTCTGGCGTGATATCAACCCCCCCCCCGGTCTTTCACACGCTAATTCTTGAAGGATTTAATCTCGTGTGGAGGATGAGGGATTAGGATCCTTCATCTTATGAAGGATTTTCCTACACGTTTATACGTATATGTAATAAACAATTGTGTAACTAGTTTCACAAGATTACTTAGCTCAGTGAACAATGGAGTTTAGTTCCTGTACCCTCAAGGTAACCCACTATATGCCTCTTCAGCCCTTTCCTACACCACCTATGGAGGGTACATAACGTGTGACTAACTTGTGGTTAATCAGTTTCCGGGTTTGTTCTTTAGAATTATCTTTGGACACACAACATGTGTCAGTGTAAAAAGTGTGGACCTTGCTACAACCAAAGCAGCTGTTCTGAAAGTTATGGCAATCAGGATAGGTAATGAACGATATTAATATGGAAGGTTATCTTGATTTCGGGGCTTTTTAGTGTCCCCTCGACCAGGCCTCCACCCCCAGGAAGCAGCCCGTGACAGCTGACTAACACCCAGGTACCTATTTTACTGCTAGGTAACAGGGGCATAGGGTGAAAGAAACTCTGCCCAATGTTTCTCGCCGGCGCCTGGGATCGAACCCAGGACCACAAGCCCAGCGTGCTGTCCGCTCGGCCGACCGGCTCCGGAAGAACAATTTCATTACAGATAAGAGCAGCAATAAGAGGCAATAATTGACATGAAGTGTCACAAGTAGTACAAAAATACCTGTTAATAGCACCAGTAATGTTCATCAATCTATATCTATAAAAGTGTATCATTTGGAGGGACAGATGCTCGGGGCTAGCCCCCCTCAACTTTCCTGAATGACACATTGGTGTTAGGGAACAGTCATCGGCAAGCCAGGGGGTCAGTCCCATTGCCTCCTTTTAATACGAGCGGCTTGTGTTGCGACTTAATGAAGTTTGATATAGGGGTTAGTTTTCCAGAGCTTTTCAGCAGTTTATCAGATGTTAATCACACAATGTAACCACAACATTATTACAAAGTTGCATTGAAGTAACACGTGAAAATGACGGTGTTCTTTACTTGACAATTTGGTAAAGTGTGTAATTTGTCACTTGTCTTGTGTAAGATCCTCTGTCCTGTGGTAGTGAATATAAACATCCTTACACTTAATTACTTATAATTTGGTCTTATTTAATTAAATTAAATAAGACCGTTTATTATTTAATTAAATTAAATAAGACCGTTTATTATTTAATTAAATTAAATAAGACCATTTATTATTTAATTAAATTAAATAAGACCATTTATTATTTAATTAAATTAAATAAGACCATTTATTATTTAATTAAATTAAATAAGACCATTTATTATTTAAATAAATTAAATAAGACCATTTATTATTTAAATAAATTAAATAAGACCATTTATTATTTAAATAAATTAAATAAGACCATTTATTATTTAAATAAATTAAATAAGACCATTTATTAT